CAATCAGGAAGAATCCCTGTTTCCTTATACATTCGTCAAGACTAGACTTACACACTCATTTTAACTCTCTACAAATCCCATATATGTTGATCTTTTATATGTTTAAAGACTTTATTTCTATTTCTATGAACTATCTATTCTTATCAATTATCAAATAGCCATCAGGGTTTATCTACTGATTTACAAAAGTTAGTGGTACATTGAGATAATTAGCCCTTTGTCTGTAATGTGTTTCAGATAATCTTCCTTAGTTTCTTAGCTGTGGAAATACTGAATAAAAGTAGCCTTAGTATTCAAGATACACCTTTTAAAATGTTCATCCTCTCATCTCCAATTAATTTATATCTATATATTTTTCAGGAAGTTAAAAAAATTGAGTTTTCACACTTTGTGAACACTATTATGATTCCAATCTAACCATTTTCACCTTTGTGAACACTATTATGATTCCAATCTAACCATTATCTCATTATAAACAAATAAACAGAAGCTTAATTTTAAGTCCAGCATCCAAGGAAGCACCAAGAACTGCATGAATTATTTAAGTGCCCAAATCACACTTCAGACTTTTACATCCAGCTTTGAAACCTATTCGTCATTTGGCTTTGTCCACATGTATTCCCTGCTGGAGCCACAGTCTCCTCGTGTGGAAAACAGGAAGCTTATCCCTGCCTCAAAACATTTTCCCCAAAGCAACTGGTACGGGTCTGGCACCTGATTGCCCAATGACATTTGCTTTACTTGCCTCTCTCCCACTACATCTTGGATTAAGAGAAGAAATTATGACATCTCTTCACCCAAAGTAGCCAGCATGTCTAGAAATTAAATATTTGCCTCACAGCACAGAAGAGGAAGTAATTCCTAAAATGTCTCGCACCTTCTCATAATCCCAGGCAGACAAATGGGCTCTTTATTGATGCTGGAACTGCGCTGACGGATCCAGCTGCTGTCGGTGTGAAGGGATGTTTTCTTCCTCATTTCTTGAAGGATCTGTTGCCTCTCCAACTCTGCTCCTGATGGACCTGGTTCCTTCTTGGCGCTCCTCTGTGTTGAGCTACCGTTCCCAACTCGGTCTAAATATTTATGGCTTCCTAAATTAAAAACACATCCAAAGCTGCAGGGTTAGCACATTAAAAAAGGAAGAGTGGATGCATCTCCAAATAGAGTGTAGCAAAATGTGTCGTTGTGCACGTATGCTAACATTATCAATTCTCAAGGAGGCTGCTGCCTGGGAACCTACTCCTGGAAATTCCAATTCCACACCCAGAGGCACATCACAGAGCGCACTCAGGAAAACTAAGGAGGCTGCCTGAAAAGGAGACAACCACATTGATTTCAGCAATAGGGAGTTTCTAAATGCTCATCCAGAAGAGGTTTCTCTTCCACTTTTCCCTTCCTTACTAAATTAAGTCAATCGAGCTCATGCTCACTGAATGCTTGCTGTGACAACTCCACGGGGAGCTGGGCATTCTCTCAAAAAACGTACACTTCCCCTGGGGAGAGAGTGAAGACATACACGCATGCATCTCGAGTCTCCATGGTATAAGTCTATGACTTTAAGTCATGACCAAATTGAAGAAATAAGAGCATATTCAATCACTCCACTGGCTTTTGTGAAACTGAAAAATAGCCACGTCGCCCGAAGGATAACCAAGGGATGTTATGAGACTTGTTTCTCTTCTAAGAAACTGACAAAGCAACAAGTCAAATTTATGAATGAAAATTAAGTTAAGTTTTATCCTGAAGGCTTTGTCTCATTGGATTTGCTGGTTAATTTCTGGTTTGGTTAGAACATCCATAACTTTGAAATCCTCCCCACCTTGATTGGGATTAGGAAATTTCACCTAGTGATATATTTTCTTTTACTTTCCAGATTCACTGCTATTGACATTCTTTCAAAATTCATGATATGTCTCTGCCTTAGTTCATCTTCAAGTAAGCCATGAATAAGGGTGCCAAAGGTTCCTTATGTACATCTATGTTTATATTTGTGTATCCCACAACTCACCAATTTCGTCAAATTTGAAATGAAACATTTTCTATTTTAAAAGTACCTTATTGGCATAACCAAGATTTTTAGTAAAATATTTGATAACTTCCACTGCCTGCGCTTCATTTAGTTAAGGGGAGAAGACATACATGCCAGAATAATCAGGTTAACACCAGCCACAGATACTAATGAGTCAATTTCAGAGAATCACACTTGCCATTACTAACACGTCATGTGTTTAAGTTCAGGAGAGAAAATTATCAATGCAGGTTAACAATGTTTCATGGCAGACAGAAGTACTTAAACCTTCATTTTCAGGGTGGTTAGTGGCAAATTCAGGGGAGAAGAAACTAGAAATCCAAATAGGTGAGACCAGAAGAACCAGGTCAGAAAGCATCTGGTAAGTTGGAGACTGAGAGAGAGAACACTTTGGTTATAGTTGAGTGTTCCTAACGGGAACAACAGCAAAAGGGGCTGGAAAGATAAACTAGGACCAGATGACGAGAAGGAAAGGGGTGATCATAGAACCTAATAAAAACTGTAAATTCTACAAGTTTCAACAAGAAGTGACAAACTGACCATTCGGACCTGTACATGTGGTTTGGCTCACAGAGGGTTTTAAATTTTTAAATTCCTTGTCAGTGCTTAAAATATAACACGAAAATCCAGAGTTTGTTTGTTTGTTTTACTTCTCTTGCAATAGAAATGGTCAGTAATCAAAGGCTTGCACTCTCCCACTTGGCAGTAACAGGCTGGAGCTGGGTAGGAGTGACTGTCCACTTAGATGGGTGTGTTCATGTTCACCAAGTTCACCTCAACCCTCACCTGGACCTCCATTCGTTTACATAACTGACCAAAGCCCTGCTTCCACAAAGCCTGGTATGCAAACCTTGCTTAAAATGATGCCTTTTTCTTGATTTTTTTCTTAGTTGCATAACATCAGCTACATGTGTACCTAGAAAGGCACTTTATACTAACAATATCAGGTTCCAAATTGTTTTTGCCAAGTTAGTAAAATCATTACCACTTTGGATTTTTTGACATCTAAATGTACAATTTCTACTTTATATGCAATTTTTAAGTCCCTTAATATTCTGCAGAAAACTTTTCTGTGCCATTCCTTTAGCTACAAGATGAAATCTACTATACAAAACTCTATCAGCAGCACTTGGCAAATTCTCACATATTTCATTAGCTATTTAAAACCATTTTAAGCTCCCAGTACTCCCCCCATTATAAAGTAAAGCCAAAATAAGCAAAAGATAGTTTGTTTTTAAACACAAATGCTAAGAATATTCGGTATTTTAACTATGTAATCTTAATGAACCGGAAATATCTTGACCTTAAAAATACTGATCGTAGCATGTGATAGCATAAATAAACAATTTTGGAAAAACTTCATATTTACCATTTTTAATTGTGGAGAAATCATCCAGCTCGGTAGTGGATCTGGATTTATTCCTAGAACACAGAACACAGTATATTACACATGTCTCATTAAGAACATCCTTTTCATATTTATGAAGAACCAAAAATATAACTTTTTAAAGAAGCAATTTATTTCCTATATCTGTTGAGAACTACATTTATTTTTATATCAAGGATTTTTCATGTTGCACAAACTAGCAGGAAACAGTGACATCTCTAGAGGAGAGAAGAGCTTGATGCTAGAAATATATAATCATGTGAAAATCTTCTGCATCTTGTATGATGACTAAGCTTATGATTTGACCCAATTATGTACTTTGACTCTCTTCCAGACCCCAGTCTTACCGAATGTACAAAGCTTTTGTCATCAGGGTTCCTAACATCAGACGGTCCTACTTGCTTCATACTGTCCAAGGGTCAAGAAGTCAACTTTTGGGGCACTGGGGTACTACTCTGAAAGAGCAATTTACCAAATGCTATCCTAGAATTCTAGAGGCACTGAAGTGCACTGGCATAGGCAACTTCTGAAAATGCCTGACTTTGTAATGCCAACTGTAGATCTGCATAGCAATACTTGCTGATCTCATTCTCATTCTACTAGGCACTTTAACTTCAAATAATAGTAATAAAAATGAATGATGATATATGTTACCATACATATGTATGCTTGTCTTACATATATACATGCATACAAGATATATGTGTGTATGTATACATTTAATAGTGGATAATATGTAATAATGTAACATGACTATTAGCAACATTTATGAATGGTTTCATTTGTATTCACATAGAAGAAAATACTTTTATGACAGACTCCTTAATTCCTTGAGGGCATGCTACGTCACAAATGCCTAAGTATTTCATATTTTTGAGGATTCCTTAAGTTTCCTTTCTCTGCAATCTAATTATTTTCTCCAGGTAATGAGCTATATAATTAAAGCTTACTTAATTATACAAAGAAACCCATGGCTTTAAAAAGGAGATATACAGCCCTGACCGGTTTGGCTCAGTGGATAGAGCGTCGGCCTGCAGACTGAAGGGTCCCAGGTTCGATTCCGGTCAAGGGCATGTACCTTGGTTGCGGGCACATCCCCAGTAGGGGACATGCAGGAGGCAACTGATCGATGTTTCTCTCTCATTGATGTTTCTAACTATCCCTCTCCCTTCCTCTCTATAAAAAATCAATTAAAAAAAAATATTTAAAAAAAATAAAAATAAAAAATAAAAAGGAGATATACATATTTTAATCATCTACAGGTACCCAGAATCACGTATTATAAGTCAGGTGATTCACCACTAGAACTTTTCCCTGTTGAATATCAGCCCGCCGTTACCTGTATAGTCCGCTTCTTTTCCTATCTACTCTGAGTCCTAGTCCGTCTCCTGACTGCCTATGCAGATGAGTCTTTCCTTATCTAGAAGGCAAACTTCCTTAAGAAATTTCAGCTCTGAAAACACAAATCAATGGTCATACATGGATATTTTTATCCTGTGTAATGATTTCAAAAGTGCAACTCATTTTTTAAATTATTTAAAAACATTAAATTTAATGATTTAGGAAATTTTGAAGAAGCACATATAACTTTTCAGATATCTGAAATCCTATCTGTATTCCCCCAAAACTGACCAGTAGTTCTAATCAAATTAAGAGAGGGGCCACGTTTCTCATTTCAGATGTCCTCATGTAACTTCATTTTGGGCAAGCCTATGCCATGGCTTATAATCGCTTTTTAAAAAATGGTTAAGGTAGATTGCAAAAAATGAACACAATTCTCCCCCTGTGCCCATTCCCCATGCACTATGGCCCCTCCCATAAAGAGGTGGAGTTCTTCTCCTCTCTGTGACCTTGGGCTGGCCCTGTGACTTTACTTGAAATAGTAGAATGTGGCAGAAGCAATGTGTGCCAGGTCAGAACTGAGACTGCGAGGTGCCCGGCATGCTTCCGCTCTTTAATTCTCTCTCTCTTGGCTCTCCCCAGCCACCATGTATGCAAGCCTGCACTGCTTTGCTGAGTGTTGAAAAGCACACAGCCCAGTTGGTCTCTTGCTCCAGCTGACAACCAGCCAACTCCCCAAAAGTTTACCTAGAAAACTGGTAGTAGACGCATGATGCGCGCAATCAACTAAAAGAACTGTCAACCGAGTTCAGCCCAAAAAGCTGACCCACAAAATCATAAATTAAGTTACTAAGTTGAGGGGTAGTTTTACATATCAACCAGCAAGTTCTCTTTGCATCCCACAAAAGATCAAGAGCTATAGTAGTTCTTCAAAAATACCTAGGCAAGCCCTCAGAAATTCATATGAAGTCAATTACTCCTACCAAATTACAATGAAATGTTCTACACACCTGTCACTAGGAAGCAAACCTGAAGATTCTTCCTCTCCCTTTGGTATATCATAGGAATCAACAGGCCTGAAAGAAGGAAAAGGTTTATGATAAAAATAAAATTTGATGCCTTCCCTGGGTTTAAGAAATAGATAACAAAATTATGTTATTCTAGCACCTGTATGAGAATGCTCTCTTGTTTGAAAACTAAACACACAGAAGTATTTCAATCAATCATTGAAGAAAACACACCTACAGCTACCAACAGACATTTGCAATTCATTCCACAAATACATGCTGTGTGCCTGCTATGACCCAGTAGGGTTCTAGGGAAACAAAACAAACTTATTGGCCCCCTAATGCTTACATTTTAAAGGGGCATGCACAGATGAATTGCAACTGTTCATTCCAAAATATACACATTAACATCAAGATCATTATACAAAAGCTATGCTTTCTTTAAAATTGGTAATGTTTTATTTTTATCAGACAGAAAAAATATTCTCACAATATCACTATGATCTTTTTACTGAATATACAATTATAATTTTTTTCTTAACTGTAATGCTATACTAGAAGTGATAATGTAGAAAAATAATATGATAATGAAATATATGCTAGAAAAAAAAAAAAAAAAACTCCTAATGCTTACATTTTAAAGGGGCATGCAGGCCAACCACAAGCAAATAAATGCATATTATAAAGCAGAGAAGGGCACATGGAGGAAAGGGGTAGGGAGAGCCATGTTTCTTAGATGAAGCATTTTAGAAAGTCTGTGAAGGTGACATTGCATCAGAGACTTAAACAAAATGAGTAAGACAACAAACATGTGAGGGAACACTTCTCCAGGCACAGGAACTAGAAAATGCAAAAATCCAAGGGGCAGAATATGTTGTGCATTTTCCAGATAGGAAAGGGATGATAGTGCAGCTATGACACACCAAGTGAGGGGAAGTCAGAGGAAGGTAGATAGACCAAAGGGCCAAGACACTTCATACAAGCCTTCTAAGGCCCGGGGAGGAGTGCAGATGGTATTCTAATGTGAGGGAAGCCATTTGGAGACACTGAGCAGGAAAGTAAGGTGATAGGTTCAGATTTACAATGGGATGGGTTCACTCTGGCTGCTTGTGTTCACTTGTGTAGAGAATGGATGGTAGGGAGCAGGAAAACCAATTAGGTGCCTTCAAAGTGAGGAATGGATACAGCTAAGCCAAGCCAATTGAAAATCACATGTACCCATTGGCAAGGGAACAGACCTTCTATACTGGTATATTCTGACTGACGTTTCCCTCTCTCTCTCTGCCTGGTGCATCTGTTCTTCTGTGCGACGCTTCTGCTCCTCAGCCTGGCGCTTCTGCTCCTCAGCCTGGCGCTTCTGCTCCTCAGCCTGGCGCTTCTGCTCCTCTGCCTGGCGCTTCTGCTCCTCTGCCTGGCGCTTCTGCTCCTCTGCCTGGAGCTTCTGTTCTTCTGCGTAGCGCTTCTGCTCCTCAGCCTCAGCCTGACGCCGCATCTCCTCCTGCTCTTCCTCATATTGTTGCTCCTTCAGTTCCCTCTCTTTCTCAATGGTCCTCAATCATCTCTTCCTCGTGCCACTGTCTCCTCCCCTCTTCTCCTGCTCGGGTTCCTTCCCTGTCAGAAGACTTGGACCCTTCATCCCAGGTGGCTTCTAAGGTGGCAACAGTAGGCTCCCGTGTGGTCAGAGCTGTGATGTTTGAGTTCAGGACCATCAGCTCCTGCACAACCAGGGGGTGAAATTTGATTAAGATATGTCTATATTCAGTTTTTTATTATATCTATTGTAGTTGGCCCAGAATTCTATTGAAATGATGTTAAATTTTATCACTAACAAAGCCACACGTGGGTGATGGAGATGTAACTTAGAAGAAGAAGATACACTTAGAGTCTGTAGATAAAATAATTTAATTATTGAGTAGAGAAACTAGGAGAAATGTTGAAACATCAAAGCAAAGTTCTGATAAATCAGAGCTCATTATATTTTTCAAAGAGATACGCTGGCGAGTGTATGACAAAAGCCAAGTGAAGTGGACAGTCTTCCATTTTTCAGCAGATTTCATCAAGACAGAGAAGGAAGAACATGTTCTAACATTACCTCATTCAAGAACTTGTCATTCTCTCTCTCAGCCTCCTGCTGAGCTCTTTGCCACTCTTCCCTTAGTTTCTCCTGCTCACGTTGGTATTTTTCCTATAAAAAAATGATAGCATATTGATTAATTAGCTAATTACTAGGCTGATGTTAATCTTTTTCATTAGCAGTTTTGTTAGCCCCGCCTTTCACCTCAATCTTTAAAGACAGAGATATTTATTTTAACCAATCAGATTTTAGTCCTTAAAATAGAAAATACCTTATATTGAAGTAAAATGCAGGTGCTGGGAAAGGGTAGACATTCAGAATTATACCCAAATGCACCCTTTACCATGGTTGTAATTCATTAAAGCCCCTAAAGCTAACTGTAAGGGGGACTGAATTTCTCTGCAATAAACTGGCAGTAAGCCTCACAAAGCCTCCTATTCATACAAGAATCTATGTTCACTGCAGCATTAGACACTATGGCCAAAACATGGAAACAACCTAAGTGTCCTTCGATGGATGATTTGATAAAGAAGTTATGAACATATATTTACTTGAATACTACTCAGCTATAAGAAAGGATAGAATATTACCATTTGCAACAGTATGGATGGATCTTAAGAGTATTGTACTAAATGAAATAAGTCAGAAAGAAAAGGACAAGAACCATATGGTTTCACCCATATGTGGGATATAAAACAGAAAACAACAAACAAACAAAAGATACAAACTCATAGACACAGACAACAGAATGGTGGTTACAGAGAGGAAAGGGATGGGGGGAGGAGGAAGAGAGTAAAGGAGGCCAAATATATGGTGATGGAAGGAGACCAGACTTTGGGTGGTGAGTATACAATGGAATATACAGATGATGTATTATAGAACTGTACAAACAAAATTATGTTATTGACCAGTATCACCCAAATAAATTTAATTTAAAAAACAGTACATAGAAAAAAAAGAAATCCAAACTAGAGTGCCTCATATTTTCTAAAAATAAACACAAGGGTTAATAAATGATTTTAAAAGGAGGATTCTGGAAATCGTCAAATGAAAGGTAACTGTCTTTGCGTTTTAATAGAAAATTATTTTTAATACAAAAAAATAATTGTATGTTAATACAAAACACACTACCTATCAAAGTATTTGTTAATTATCAGGTTACTGGCTTTTTAAATTTATTTATATATATATATATATATATATATATATATATATATATATATATAATTTTTTTATTGATTTCAGAGAGGAAGGGAGAGGGGGAGAGAGAGAAACATCAATAATGAGAGAGAATCATTGACTGGTTGCCTCCTGCACACCCCCCACCCCGCTGGGAATCTAGCCCACAACCATGGCATATGCCCTGACCAGGAATCAAACCATGACCTCCTGATTCATAGGTCGATACTGAGCCACATGGGCCAGGCAAATTTCTTTTTTAATTTGCTTCTCAGTACTAGTGGCATTTACAGTAACAACAGGCCTACTTCCTGTTGCTCCATGTTATTCTGCTCTACCTGCAGCAGGCGGTCCTGCTCCTTCTGCCACCTCTCTTGCCGCTTTCGCTCCTCCTCTTGATCCCACGCCCAGCGACTCGGGGCACTGATAGTTGGAACTGGAAGCTAACCAGTTATGAGAGAAGAGGTGCAAACAAAGAATATGTTACATCATTAAGTCACCTATGGAAGCATATTTGCCTACATAAGTTATTCATATCACCCTGTGTCTAAGCTCTACTAAAGGACAGTTGGCTTTATATTTCAAAATAGGTCGTTTCAACTTAAAGAGACTGGGTCACCTTATTTATTCCAAAAACAAGTGAATGCTACTTACATCAGGAACCACAGAATCAGAGCTTCCTGTATGGCAGCATGTGGGTAAGGAAGAAAAAAACACAGTATAAGACTTTTCATTTCTATGAAATAATTCCTTTCAGAGAGTTATGTCATTAGCTGTTTCTATGCCAGTATACTAAGTGACATCATTTTTTTTTAAACAACAGGAGTAAATCCTTCTTTTCCTCTTAAATTCCATCTGTTTGTTATCCATCTTTCAAATTCAAAGTCAGTTTAAAAGAAAAAAGAAAGAAGAAAGGGTCAACTATGGATGCTAAGAGTACAACCAAGTTCTAGGTACAAGCGCTGGATCAATGGTATATTTATGAATAAGTTAGAGGGTTTGTTTATTAATAGACTGGGATACTATCTCATAGTTTGGCCTACTTAAAAAAAAGAATTTCAAATGTTACAATATCTACCAAATCTAATTTTTACTTGCACTATTCAATTACAATGTGAGAACTCTAAGCTACTTTTCTTAAATAAGCCATCACATCAAACATGTTCAAGAAAGCTTTCCTTTTCCTCTACTATTATTTGAAACATAAATATTCAAACTTCATATGTATGGCATAGTGTTATTCTTTTACTTTTTCACAGTGTTATTCTATTTAGTCTTAGGGGGGTCTACATAAGTGTGTGTCTGTCTATAGTACAATGAGTACAAACAAGTAAGCAAATTTCATAAAATATGTATCATATAGTACCTTTAAATTTTCCTGAAACCTCAGCTGTCAAATAAATTATTCACTTACACAATTATATTTTTAAGAAAACTGTTTTGAGACTTAGGAAAATATTCTTCCCTAAAATAGCCTGCTGAAGAAAAGTGAGTAAAAATTAGGATAAAGAAGAAAAGGATTTGCTTTATTTTAGTCAATCTGAGCTAGAAGTATCATACTGCATCAATTAAATTACCAGGGAAAAACAGAAGTTTAACAAAAATATATCGAAACCACTAAGAATACTGACACAAGTAAACCTTGCACATGCATAGCTGGTGAACTATTTCTATGTGTGGTCAAGAGACCGTAATTCAACAAAGGAAGACTACTAGGAGATTGACAAAATATAAAAGTCCAGTAAACATCGTGTTACAAGGCAAGTTTGTAAATCTTTGATAATCTTAAAAGTAAGAAACCATAACATTTTAGACACCAACAGCACACACTCCCCACTGACCGTGCCATTGCATCTCAAATGTTTGGATATTACTTTTAAGTTCTTGACAGTGAAACACAGAGCTCAAACTGCATTCATGAGACAGAGCATCAGGCAAACGTGAGAGGAAGAAGATGCCACATGCATAGCACATCGTAAGGGAGCATTGCCCAACTACACCAACACAGAGAACCTCAAAATTCACTTGTTCACAAATGTCACCAAATTTATTTACTTTTAATATACTTCTAAGTCAATAGAGCAGCACTATCAATACTCCAAAGCTGCCATCTCAATAATAATAAACAACTCTGCTTTTTTATTGGGAACATTTTCCAGAACCAAAAAAGCAGAGGTCTTTAGAAAGTTAGCCAATGATATGTTGGTGTAATCTAAGATTATGCAATTTGTAGGAAGTAGTAAGGCTTAAATGAAATGCCTCATTTCTTACTGTCACCCAGTGGGGGGGAAAAAGTGTGTGTTTAATAGCATCTCAATTTTTAATTAAAAAAGAAAAAAGAAACTTCAGAGGTGCAAAGGACACGCAAAGACCCATTACCACAGAGGTAGACCCATGAGCTGTAAGAAAAGCCTGATGACCCTAGGGAAAGAATGGAAATGGGTTATGTCGTTGGTCACGATGACAGCCAAACCGAAGAGGCTCAGTGCCCAGCACCACAGACCATCAGGAAAGGTGGAGGGTGGGAACAATTCCATGAAAATGCATGAATTGTTAGCTTGGTGGTTTACCTTGTTCAAAAAATTGTGATCGCCTTTTTAAGTTTTTCAAAGAAATAGGTTCAGATGCTAGTTGAAAAATACAAAAAAAAAAAATCAATAAGATGTCATTCATTTTAATTTCTCACCACTGGAAAACTAAATGATACTTGCTATATATATTTCTCAGCTATAGCAATATTATTTTTTAATAATAAAAATGACAAAACTGATAGCCATAGAAGATATGTATTATTTCAATGCACAGAGACACACATATTTTTAGTAGTCTATGCTATATTCAAATTAGTAAAAGGAACTAATATTTTGATTAATAAATTTTAGCAGATAAGCAGTCTAATTTCACAAAAGTCAAAACAGCTTTAGGAAAGTGGAAATTAAATATTTTTGCTTAGGTCAGTAAAAAATCTCTTCTAGTACAAGGAAAATTGTTTGTAACTAAGAGTTTTCACAATACAGGTGAGTAAAATAGAAACTAAAGAATAATGGGGAAGAGGACAAGAAAATAAATAATAACCAGAGAAAGAGAAAATAAAAGCAAGTGCTAAACCTAAATCATTCTTCTAACTAGAATACTTTGCCCTCATTTTCAAGATCTTTCAGCCACCAACTTTAAGTAAAACAAATGGAGTCCTGTCAAATAAGAAAGAAAAAGAAAAAATTCTGACTTCTCCTATGGGTCTCTCACGAGATTATGGCAAATGATTATCATACTTCAATATATTCATAAAATATAAATGCAATTATTACTGGATACTCATTGTTGTTTACTTATCTAATGAAAAAACTGAAATGACAGACCTGTGTAGTGCCACAGTCACTAAGGAGTTAAGTGTCTGAGTCACTGGCAGAACAGGACCCGGATGTCTTATATTTAAGATCATGAAGAAAAATAAGCCATGCTTTAAAAACTCCTTTGATAAAGAATGCAATATCAAACAAAACATAGTCACTTCTGATGGTCAGAAACTAAGTACAAAGATAAATAATCAATAAAGAGAGGGAAATTGATAAACTTAGTTTGGCTTTGATATTGGACTATGAACTGGCAAATGCAGATTCAAAGCCACCAGCCTGCTGAGAAAACCCAGCCCGAGTCCTGGCAGTCTAGTTTCATGTTCAAAGAAATTGCATCTTCTGTGGGTCGCTTTCCCGGCCTATTTCTTTTGTATGCCTATGGAAACATGTGGTAGCTAAATTATGTATAAGCCAACAGAAGGGGAAGAGAATGATAACTCCATAAAGCAAAATTATCCTCGATACTATGCCTGCTTTTTTATTACAAATGGGTGCTTTTGCTAACAACTGTTATTGCCCTTGGCATTTCCCTATTAATACTAGCCGCCTCCAAGCTTGTCCCTTTCACAACACTAAAGGGAGAAAGGAAACCTCATTCATCGTTTTGTATTTAACCAAGATTCCCTTTGGCAGCATCCCATAGCAAGAAGGCTGATGGCCTGGGCAAAACCAGTCTTTCTTCATTGGCTCAGGCACACAGGCACTCAAAGCTCCTGGACATGCTGCCAAAGCTTTGTTTGCAGCGCCTGCACCATTCTACACGGGGGCCCAGAGAGAGCCCTTCCACATGGCTGCAATCCGATCTGGGTGCTAACCTTTTCGTTTCAACTTGCAGTGGATCAGTTTTTCTTTCACTCACAGGTATTAATGTTTATATTAACAGAACTGCGGTGCTATGACTTTTCTTACACTATAAATGTAAGTTATAATGGTGATGTTTACCTTTTAATTCAAAAGTACTGCTTTCATCACGAATCCCATTGATTTCCTTGGACTCGGTATTCTGGAAGGAATACAAATGCCAGTTAACAACATTCTCTCCAACTGGACTTTGGGCTTAAATAATGCATTTCCTGTTAATGCAAATATCTTTTAGTCAAATGAATTGTTGAGGATATTAATGTATTCTTTACAGCCTTTTATATATACAGTGGGGCCTTGAATTCATTCCGAGACGGAGCTCGTTAAGGAGCTCATTCAGGAGCTCGTTAACTCAAATTACTCTATCAACTCAAGGCAAAAAATCGGCCGAGAGACAGCTAGTGTCTCAAAAAACTCGTTAGTCGGGACACTCCTAAGTCAAGGCCCCACTGTAATAGATACTTTTTTTTTACTCTTTAAAATTTGTGGAAGGATTAATGACCAGCTGCAAGCATGGATGGCTTTAAGTTCAATCAGTCATTAATTTTCTAAGAAACAAATAATGATTAGTCCATTTGGCTTGTATTTATGAGAAAGTAACATAGTTATATAGGATTCTCTAACATTTATACTTGTCTTACACAATGTAGCAGGACCTCCTTATTAGATAAAAGAGGGTATCATAGGATAACAACAATATATCTAGGGAGTCAATATAAACATTTATTTGAAAGTTTAAATCTAAGTATTCCTCTGATACTTAGAAAACTTTCTACATTATAATTATTTTAATCAATTAATGTAACAGGGTATCTTTTAACCACATATGTAAGTCTACCCACCAAATTCACCTACTCAAGATTAAAAATGCTTCATGGGGTTTTAAATTGCACACAATTACTATACTTATTTTACCAGTAAAGACCAAAGAAAGCATAGAAAAGCCATAGTATATAATTTTACATAATTAATACTTCACATTCACAAAGATCTGAGAAATGGGTATAATGATGAAAGATTGGTAAGAAACACCTGCAAAACACCAGTATGGGATCTTTTGATTTTACCATTATATAACTCATTATTACTCTAATTATTAATGAGTAATGCTCATGATGTTTAAAAATACATTTTACTCTCATTACTATAAATGATCTTATTTAATTATGTGGTTTTTAAAGTAGCATCAAAATTATCCAGACAAAATAAATTCTTCTCCCCCAACACACATTTCCTACAGTTGCTTTGCTCTAAACAAATATTCCTCCTCAAAATACTTACAGAATTCTGAAGGCTTTCTGAGAAATCAGTCATTATTGATAGATTTGAAGATCTGTCTGAGTTGTAAATTCCAGAAGTTGCATCAATCCACTTTGTTTCAGGTGAACCTATAATTTTGGTAGCCATACTGGTGAGATTGAGGGTTTTATGCCGTATAAATGGCAGGGAAGGCTGGTCTTTGCCCCAATCTGATTGGCACGTGAAGATCAAGAAATGAGTACACATAAATGTTGAAGTGGAAAGAACAAAGTTACTGAATGCACACATACAATATGCACATACACAAGATAGACAAACAAATCAGGCAGTGTGTGAAAGAAATGAAAAGTTTAAGGATTTTTACCAAGAGACCACCTTCCGAAAACACAAGGGTTAGATCATGTTAATAATGAAAAGACTAGCAAATTTGCTGAATCTTTCTGTAAACCAGGACTGGAAATTAGTTTTTTTATATCAAAAGTTGGTACATCTGTGGTGGTTGAATGTCCATTCCCATCTAACTTCTGTAACTAAGAAACACAATAATGAAGTGTATTTTGAAAAGGCCATCCCCATTTCACTTCTATAACTAAGAAATGTAATAATGGAATGTATTTTGAAGGTTTCCTGAGAATGAACAAAGGAATATGGCCTACCATGTTCTCTCTTACACCGGTTACAGTTTTGGTGCTGTAGAGAAAGTCGAGTCGTAGTCTAATTCTTAATACTCAACATTATTACATGACTCCCCAATGTAGATACAATTACAATAGCCTTCAGAAAACATGAGAGAGATATTAGAACAAATTTTTAAAAAACAATAATCTTCAGTTGATATATGCATTCAAAGTCAACCAAGCATATAAGTCAGTCACTAAATAATGTAGAATTCAGTAAATTTGCTAGTGAAAAGTTTTCAGACAGACTATTCAAGGAAGTATTACTCATGATTTGTCTTGACATAACCAAAAAAATATCTTTAAGCAAAAAATTCAAAAAATTAAAAGAAAAAATTGTTATTGAAGCAAATTGTTATAACCACTTGCCAAAGACCAGTTCCCAATTTAAAAAGCCAGACACAATGATAACCCAACTCACCAGACTTTCCATACCGCCTAATATCCATTACTAGGTTTCCAGTTTCTTGAGCATTAGCCATGGCTTCTTCCCACTCTTTTGTGTCCTTATATGAAAACTTGGTATTGTTGATGGCAATAATTTCATCATCTACCTGTAGCTGAGAAAATTCTGCTGGGCTACCTAAATAGAGCAAAATAAACAACCAATTTAAAAATAAACAGGTCCTACAGTCATTGATTATTAAAATTAAAGAATAAATGACTTTTTAACCTCAACTAACCATTTCTCATAATTTTTTAGGTGAAAAGGAGTCACAAAATTTCTTAGTTATCAAACATTTGAGTATCAACAATACACAAAGCACCAGAGGCATATTTTATTGTATAGTATATGTCATCTTCATTAACATTTAAAGAACAAATGATAAGTTCATCTGTTCAAAAAAAATTTTTATTAACCTCCTAAGAAAAGAGAAAATGTTTAATTATTTTAAAATTTTAAATGTGTAATAAACTGCATTTTAGTTGAACTTCCAAATCCAAATGTATTTTGAAACAGAAGAAAAGAGGGCCACTTAAAACTGATTAAAATTACTACTTACCATTATCTCATTGGAGAAGTCTTGAAATTTCAAAGAAAAAGCAATTTAGCATGCAATTTTATGTAGTTAAAATATGCAAATGAGGAACTCCTCTTAAATACCATAGTTTCCTTTTTAATTTTAGGCCCCGTGGTAAGAGTTCAGGGCTTGACTTGGCATAGTCCTGGGTGGGGGTGGGGCAATCCTTTTGTAAAAGTCCCAGAGCATCCTGAGGTCTCCATAGGCCCTAGTTGTATTAGGACGCTCAGAAAACACCATTTAATTATACAGCACAGAGAGATCTACCACATACACAGCTGATTGGGTTCTATTAGCATTTTCAAATATTAAGCCTAACATTTTAACAAATAAATTCTGTAAAAGTCACAAAAATAAGACTCTTCAAAACTACAATTAGTTAGGCAAGGAGAACAAACAACATGTAGTTTGTAACTCAACTATCAGTCTCAGGGAAGAGGATGTATCTTCTCGCTTTACTGCTGTATTTTCCACATGTGTGCTCTCCTGTATCAAATAAACCAATGTCTGGGAGTGGGGGAAACAGCATAGGGTAGCAAAGGAGAAGAAATTTCAGTAGAGAAAAATCTATAAATTACCTGCTTCCACTGATGCTATGAAGATCCCGGAAATATCCCATTTTACTGTAAACCCAAAGTCAAGGCCGTTCCCAGGCGTCTGGTTTATGCTGATTCTCATATCACTGAACTGATCCTGAAAACAAACATGAAACGGTGTGATCAGGTGTCGCTGGCACCCACGTGGAGGAAAGTCTATCCATGAAAGAAGGGAGGCTGCAGGCAAGGGACACTTCAATTATTTCATGATCAACTGGGAGCTTCATTCTTTTTCCTGGGTTTGGAAAAACCTTCATTTATATAAATATTACCAAGTTTGTTATTTTTCTTCTAAATTAGGGGAAATTTATATCAACAGATGTTTTTCTTCACATTAATATAAAAAATCAGTTGGCCATTGATAAAGCTTTTATGCTTTTGCTCACCATATAATTGGGTCTAATGTAAAGACTATTTGTTTATACCCAGGAATGCAGTTGAGTGAGAAAATGTGTGTGTGTGTGTGTGTGTGTGTGTGTGTGTATGTAATGGAATATTCTTAAGTCCTGAGAAAAGGAACATTCTGCCGTTTGCAACAACATGGATGAACCTGAGTGTATGGTGCTAAGTGAGAAAAGTCATGCAGAGAAAGACAAGTACTGTATGATACCATGTATGTGTGAAATGTAAAAAAGCCCAGCTTATAAAAATAGAAAATGGTGTTTATCAGGGGATGGAGTTGGGGAGATAGGACAGATGTTAAGGGTACACACTTGCACAAAGTAGTTAATAAGCCCTAGAGATATAATGCACAGTAAAGTGAACATAGACAACATATTGTATTAAAATCATCACACTTGTTAGAGAATAGAACTTAATGATTCTAACCTCTTAAGAGAAAAAGTAATTATGTAATGTGATAGAGGTGCTAATTAACACTACATTTATACAGATATAAATGTATCAAATTAACATGTTGTACACATTAAATTTACAGTGTTATATGTCAAATTCAATAAAATGTCAGTTTTAAAAATGCAAAAAAATATTTAAATAATTTATTTTGAAAATGTCACTATGCTTAAAAAAAAAAAAAAAAACTTCCAACATTAAACTTAGCTAAATCATTTCAAGGGGTTCACAGACACATAATTCAGCGACCAGTAGCATGCTTATCTAGGACAGGTACCACCCCTAAATAGCATTTGAAATTTGGCAGGGCATTTCTGCTTGCCCCACTGCCACATGAAGACAGAGCTGCTAGACAGCTGCAAGATGCTGAACTATGTGATCTTTGAGGAACCAGCAGTAAGATGTCAAAACACCCCCTACTGGGACACCCTGAGCTGTAGGCCACAACTTCCTTGAAGTGACATTAGCTCAACAGCCACCTGGACAATAGGTAGAATTTTATTTCTGTGTCCATCATTATACTACACAGCAATAAATTCCAAGTTGCACAGACTTTCTTAAAGCCATCTTCTAAAACAAACATTTTAAGTTTTACAGTATACTATGCCTGTGGAAATTTAACTATGCTTCATCATTTGCATGCTTTGTTTTGGGTACACAGCAGATATGAAGTTTAGCATAATGAGTTTTCCAGACTAGTGTTTTTAGTTCTTTGATTCATAATCATAAAGAACTTAGGCTTAAGAGTTTAAGATATATATATATTCTTAAAACCACTGTATTTTTCAGAAAAATACCTACAACTCCATTATAATTTGGCAGTTAAACTGAAACTTAGGCCCTACTGAGCAATTCCTAAAGCCTTATGTTTAATTTTTTTAACCTCTAAAACAGGTTTAAAATCCAAGTGACAATATTCTGAGAAAAAATTTCGCATTATTTAAGAATTAGAAGGAAGACAGTAAATAAAGGATTGAGAGCATATTATGTAATATGGGCACAAAAGTTAGGTGCTATAACAATGCTCGCTTATTCATTTGCTCAACATTCATTCATTGTACATCTTATTCTGTAAATGACACAGTGCTTAGCACGCTGGGAAATACAGATGGATTAGGCATGGCTCTTGCTCTTGAGAAATAATTACTGACTCTTCAACAGTGGGTATGGAATTTTTTAAGAAAAAGTTTGTAACCAATAACATAAAAAGATTTCATCAGAAAGCTTGTAAAGCAGTTTAAATATGGGAACTCAGATGCAGCTAGTGAGAATGCTCATTAATAATCAGCCTAAACACCAATCCCCAGAATAAAACTCTGCTATGAATAGACAAAATTACTGGTTAGTTCTACTCCTTAACGAAAACCACCATACACTTAGAGATGACTCAATAAAAATAATTGGTCATCTTCACCACTCTTACCCTCCCAAATTCCAACTTAAACCCAATTAAAATGCAGAATCTATTGCTATATAAGGGCAGAGAGGCAAATGATAGGTTAGATATTCAAGGCACTAACTAAGGTTTTTATCATGAAGAATAAAAGACAGGATGGAGACTTAATAAATAGTCTCAAACTACATAAAGAACACTTTGTGGGAGACAGCAAGTGAATATTATCATTTTCTGGCAAATACAGGATAAAAGCGAACAAGTTTAAGCCATAGACGGAAGTCTCCCAATTATATTAGTCAGAAGAATTATCTCACAAAGGGCTGCTCTTACCTTGGAAATAAATCTCTACTTGAACATATTCAACAAAAGGGCAGATAACCACCTCCCCGGAAGTTAACAGAGGACAGCCCCACTGTGGCTACAGCCTGGCAGACTTTTGTGTGTGGATCCTTGGGACTGTACACGGGCAAAGAAGAAGAACAAACCACCTGGATAATTACAGTCCATTCTGTCAATAACCAGGTGACCTCAGGCATGTCACTGCGCCTGACAGAGCCTTCTCTCTCACAAATACATTGATTTTCAAGTTTTTGTTTTTTAAAACCCTATTTTCAAGTGAAATCCTGATGCATAGCATGTCCCTCCGAAAGCAATATATAGAAAGGATTAAAGTTTGTGGTTATAGTTTCAGATTAGGGGCCCCAGAGCCCCACCTGCATGGCCTCCTCATGGCAATCCCTCAAGCATCTCTGTGGAGTTCAAGGTTATTAAATTAGGTTATCCCTGAGACTTCTTACAGGGCAATAAAGCTATAATTATAGTCAAGCATAAACTATTCAGCAATGATTTCACTTAGAATTTCTACTTCCATGTTTTTATCTGTATGATGCATGTCACATGAGTATTCTACAAAGGATCCATGCTTCAGAAGATAATGGAGAATTACCTTTTGAACTGGATGGAACCATGAATATAAATTATGGGGGAAAATCTAGATTCTTGATGGCTGACAAACTACTATCCCAAGTAGTTTAAGTACTCTATGCCAAGAATGGTAAAATATAGTTATTAACATATCAGCACTTAAAAATGAAAATAATTTCCGTCAAATCAGGTATAATTTAAACAGAAATATATACTGAAAACTGTGATTTTAAAACAAAAACATGATGATCTGGAGTAGTAATAATAAAATCTATTTTTATGAGATCTAGTGAACTAAGATTCTCATATATCACCACAGATGAGAATTAATGAAAAACAGGGTCAATCTTACAAAATAACAAGAGTTATTCTCCTCAACTCTTCCAATTAGATAAATGTTTACTTAGGGCAGTGATGGCGAACCTATGACACACGTGTCAGAGGTGACACGCGAACTCTTTTTTGGTTGATTTTTCTTTGTTAAATGGCATTTAAATATATAAAATAAATATCAAAAATATAAGTCTTTGTTTTACTATGGTTGCAAATATCAAAAAATTTCTCTATGTGACACGGCACCAGAGTTAAGTTAGGGTTTTTCAAAATGCTGACACGCCGAGCTCAAAAGGTTCGCCATCACTGACTTAAGGGAAGCCTACCTAAGTTGATAAAATTAAACACTAAAAGTAGATTCAGACTATAAAGTGAGAAATGCCAGAGGACATAAATAACCGTGGGTTTCTGTACACATGGCATTTGAGTGTCCTTTTTTCCCAGGGTCTAAGGCAGTGGTTCTCAACCTTCTGGCCCTTTAAATACAGTTCCTCATGTTGTGACCCCCAACCATAAAATTATTTTCGTTGCTACTTCATAACTGTAATTTTGCTACTGTTATGAATCGTAATGTAAATATCTGATATGCAGGATGGTCTTAGGCGACCCCTGTGGAAGGGTTGTTCGACCGCCAAAAGGGTCGCGACCCACAGGTTGAGAACCGCTGGTCTAAGGTGAGCCTTCAAATCATGGCTCTGATCCGGCACTGGACTAACCTCCTTCACCAAAGAGACTGTATACCTCCTTCCTCCACTTCCCCATTCCAAAGACTCAGGGCGTTTCCCGCTCTGCCACTTACTCAACCCTTTCCAAGCTTATCTCCTACACGCCCCACACTGGGGATCAAGCCCACAACCTGAGCATGTGCCCTGACTGGGAATCAAACCCTGACTCCTGGTTCATGGTTCGATGCTCAACCTCTGAGCCATACTGCTGGACACCACCAACTATTCTTGTTTCTAGGAAATAGTCTTCCAAGTCATCCATTATTTCACTTTCTCCTGCCTTTCCCCTCCATCTCTCTGGACACATCAGTTTCATTAGTATGTTCTTCTTCTTTCCATTTTCGTTTTGTTGTTCCCTCCGTAGTCCCCCATCTTTGTGACTACAGGCTTTCCTGAGTAACCTCCTTCACTGCTATATCTTCAGCTACTAACTAAGCCCAACATATCCCAAACTACATCCATTATCTTCCTCCCCTCACCTGTTCTTCCACCCCTTGTTTTTTATGTATTGGTTAATTACATCACTATCCAACCAGATGCCTACATTAGAAACACCAGGTTCTTTCTGGGGCTCTTCCTCTTTTCTTCTCCTAACTGCCCCCATCCCAACTCCACACAATGATCCTCACCTGCAGTATCCACCACACCCACATGCATTTAATAGTGTTGTCAAGTCCACAATCCATAATTCCACCTGGAACCACCCCATCCTTCCATCTTCCTTCAAGTTATTGTCTTAGTTTGGTGTCCCCGCTACACTACTGTGGTCACCTCCCAATAGGCCTCCAATTTACTTTTCCCCATCTTCCACACAGCTGCCAGAACTTGAGTAAAGAACATGGCAAGTATTATATGACACCTTATTTAAATGCGCGTAGCTCCTTACTGTCTACTGGGTAGATTTTAAACTCTACAATTCAAAAATAATTCAGCTCTGATACATATATACCTTCCTCAAAACAATCTTAAGAATTATTTTATCTTTATAAACCAGAAAGTATTTCCGTCCCTGTGGCCTCCAAAGTTGTAAAGACAGGGCAAAGTTAAAATAAGTCAACATTTGGTGTTTTTCCTTAAGGCAGTTCTCAAATTTGAGCCTGTCATATTTCATAAACATTAAGGTCAGGGAAATCATAATTGTGGCCTGATCATTTAACTGGCCTGGAGCATGAATATAACTTTCAAATCTCAAGAATTTCACTGGTAATAATGTGGGTGATACCACCTACTTTGCAAGGTTATTGAGAGGAACAAATGAAACATTTAAAAGGTGCCAAGGCAGGTGGTTGATGCCTAGTAATTACCTTCTTTTTCCCATGGAAACAATGTTATCCATTACATATATGCTGGTTAAGCAATTAGAGAAAATCCTATTTAACACTCACAAACATAGCTATGAAGCCAACAGCACTCAATCAGCATTCAGCAAATACAGATCCAGGCACTGTGCTAATAGCGAGCAAGACCGGCTTGTTTCCTGCCTTCACACAAAGTCAGTTCTAGTGAAGGTGACAAGCAAATAAAATGCATGGTATGAAGCTGTGATAAGGGAAGCCCTGGGTGTTATTAAAAGGGGCATTTAATAGACTCAGGGGTCAGAAAATGGACATGTAAAAAGCTTCCTTCCTTCCATACCTATCATCCTACATTCTGGGAACTGCTTTAAAAAAAAATCTGGGGAACAGATTCCAAAATGTGGGCTTGGATGGGATTTGAGAATTCAGAGCTCTGACTGGACAAAATAAAATGAAAACCTGTAGGTAATGCCAATTTGGGGGGAAAAAATGAAAGCCACATCTGTGGGAGGTTAGAAGAGGATGAAGGACTCTCTCCCTTTGCTCGGGGTGACCCCCAGAATTGTCCCAGCAGCCTGGATTGGCAAGGGAAGCAGGCGATGGAGCAACACAAAAAGAGAAATAGGGAGAAAAGGAACAGAGAGGACTAAAACCCAGAGCTCAGCAAAGGAGATGGGAAAGAAACCCCTGGAGGCAGGAAATGAGGTCATATTAATTTCTTCCCTTCATTATGCCTTTCCTTTTTTATGGCATAAACCCACAATTCTGTGATAGGCTCCAAACCAGTCTCTGCCCCCAGACTTCATTTCCTTAAAATAGTTCTATGCAACATCACAGTGCTTACGTTCCTAAAACACCCATTAATCTTAAAATTCCCACATTAAAGATCCTATAAGGACCTAAGTGACCTGCTGGATCAAGTTTATACTTCCGTCTAGTAATCAGGGCCGTAAATGCAAATCAAGTCAGTAAACACTTCTAACTCTGTGCAAAGGCTGTGGAGGGTATAAAGAATACCAGTGACGAGACACAGTGAACGCATGGAACAGGAAGAATTCAGCAGATGAAGCTTTCAAGGGTGGAAAATTCAATTCGGACTTGGGGAAGAAGATATTTGTATTCACAAAGGAAATGACCCTCCTGGGCTGAAAAGAACAGGAGGACTTCTTCAAAAGACAGAAATGGGTAAAATAAACAATTTCAAATGGGGCGACAATAAAAACAAATATTTGATGTGTTCAAGAAAAAGCAAGCAGTCTCATTTGGTTAGGTCACCTACTTCCTCTCTCTTTCCCACAACATAGTGTGGTGTTGGTAGGTAGCTTGAGTCAGACTGCCTGGGTTCAAATCCTGACGCCACCACTCAGTACCTTGCAGAGCCTTGGACAAGTACTATGCTCACTCCATGCCTCAATTCCCACAACTATAAAGCAGTGATCCCAAGGTCACTGAGGACTAAGTAAGATAATGCCCTGAGACACCTGGGGTTGGCACGTGGTAATCCCTCAATAAACAGCTGCTAACTGCACTACTACAGGAGTTTGAGACCAGTGATGAGGGACCTCAATACTCCCCTGAATGCCCTGAACTTCACTGCACAGATCACTGAGGCTTTGCAGCTGAGAGATTAGTCCAACCTGGCACCACACGGGTGCCTCCGATGCCAGCCTCTGTGGAATGCACAAACACACGTGACTATTTACAAAGCATCTGCATTAATGGGGACAGGCCTGAACTTCCACTGAAGCAGGGAGAGAAAAGTATAACATCAAGGAAGATTCTGGAGGAAGAAAGAAAAGGAGATTACTAGCAAAAGTGCAAGTAAAGAACGAGAATGAAGGCCCGAAGAACAATTATAAAACTACCAAGACATCAAGTTCAGCCATGCACTATGCTTTTATTTTTCCATTCTCTGAACTCCTGGAATTATAGTTTGGCCAAGAGTTTGGAGGAGTGTTCCATATGCCTTGACATATTAATGACCCACTGTTTTAGGCCTTCACAGTGTTTTTCCCAAGGCAGTGAGCCCCTTTTCAGTGACAAAGGTGGGGGGATGCTACATAAGCTACTTCCCTCGGAGCGCAGAAGTGACACACCAGGCATCGTGGTGATGGGCAAGTGGCCATATGACACATACCTATGTTCAAGAATTCTAATGGTCCCACTTGTTAAATGAAGCCTAATTTTGCTTGGGAAGATCACTTCAAGTTTGGTGACAAAGAAGCCTAAACCCATTAAGGATGAAACCTGACACCATGCCATGTTAATTCAGGTTCCTCTGACCTGCACTAACCTGGAACATACCCACTCACCACACTTAGCCTCTTTTTCTTAATCTGTGATGCAGCTAGTCAACTGTCGCCCTGAGGGAGTTGGGTGCACCTAGCGCCAACACACTAATCAGGCTGCTTGTTTGGATTTGCTGTTTGAAAGGGGAAGGCTTACATGCAAGTCCATAAAACAAAAGACACCTGGCTGCTGTTTCTATTATTCATCCACTAGTACCTTATGTTCCCCAAGTATAACATAGGCTATTGTTCTCATCTGAAACTTATAATGCTAATGAATATTTCCAATTCTTTAAAAATGAAGTTAAACACCTGAAACTGATACAAAATTTCATTAAATGTAAACTGTAATTGAAAAATAAAATTTTTAAAAGTAATAAAACAAAATAAAAAGTTATAAAAGTAACTTACAAGTAATGATTTTAGCAAGCTGCAAAAATTTCTTTTAGATAGGTTTGTAAATATGCATGGGAAAAGCTGAAAGAAATATACCTAAATACTAACAAAGGTTACCCATTAATGATGGAATTACTTTCCTGCATTTCCAAATTTATGCAACTACATAGTACTTTATAATCAGAAGAAAAAGCTTAAAGCTGTAAAACTTTATAGAACTAATAAAAATCCAATATACCAAATAAATATGTTATTTCGAATTATTTCACATGAAGTCACTTCATGAATATAACTTAGGCCAAGTTGTATACTTCATGCTGTACCTTGGAAGACAAATAGGAAGGAACCAGAGAAATCTACACTAAGCTAAAGAACCACAAAAGCTCCTCCATGCAAAGGGATTAATATATTAAAGTGCTTACGAAGGGTTTTTTTTCTAAAAGAGAAAAGCTTGATCCAGACAACCAACAGCTTTATAGCCTGTGTGTAAAACATACTAAAAGAACAGTCATTACTTAATAATTCTGTTGTCATCTTTGGGGATTTGAAGAAGGAAAAACTACAAATACCTCCAGTCATTCTTCATCTGATGGTATATTTGCTTGGATTCCAAATGTTAAGGAACACAGTTGTCATACTATAACTAACCCTCAATATTACCATTAGGAGACAGTGAGTGGTTCAAAATTCTAGACTTTCTAAAGTATAAATGATCACTGAAAGTCACTAGAAGGTTAATATGATAGAGGAAGAAATGTCGTGTCCCTAGAGGCCCATACCTCTCATGTGCACCAATTTCTCCTTGCGGTCAGTTAATGTCCCTGAAAAGGGGCCTTTATTACCCACTTATCTATTAGACCTGCATCTAAAGCTTTCTGAGTGAGTCCTGCACCTGAATCCAGGACTGCTGTGCAGCGTAAAGGCAGCAGCTGCTGAAATGGGCGGTAGAACGAACACCCAGATAAACCCCAAGGAGACTGCCAATGGTCTCAATACACCCAAGTCACAGGGTCATCTGAATCCATAAACTCCGAGTTGAAAGAGACCTACTTCCTCCCAGATCTGCTCAAAATAAATGCAATCTCACATTCCACATTATCAGCCCACGTAGCCGATTACAACGCCTAGAAACATGGGTTAGAGGTATGGGTTCCAGTTTAAATACTTGTGTTTCTGAGCCTGGGTGATTAAACGCCTTCCCCAACTCACCTTTGATCGTGACACCTCTGTCTGTGGTGAGCTTCTCCCTTCTCCAAGGTCAGACATTGAATTGGGGCCAGATACTGAAGACCAGGTAGCATTAGAAGTGGCAGCCCAGTCCTGGGAGAGAGATGAGAAGGGGGGTGTAGGAGAGGGCAACCTCATCACACCCTCTCCCGATGTCACTGCCTCTATTTCACCAAAGGAGCTGGAAGCCAGCTGGCTTGGGTCAGATGTTTGCACAGAGGTGCTGACCGAACTGTACTGAGTTCTCTTAACGCCTTCTACATCTCCATTATACTTCCAAACGTCATCCATCTAAACAGGAAACATCATTTTAAACTTGGTATTGTTAGATTTCTGCTTTAAAATGTGTACAGTAATATTTAGTAAAGATTACTAAAAGCTTGGAGCACATTCTTTCATACCAGCGTAGGAGGAGGAGGAATTGTTTTCATAAGTGTTTATATAATAAACAGACCTCTGAAACTTGCTTTGCTCAATTACATTAGTTCAGGTCAGTAGATAGAACTCTACTCTTTTTAACTGTTGAATACTCTATAGTATGGGTATCTACAAGTTACTTATGTGACATGCATTCAATGCTGTTCAAATTTTTCTGTAACTTCCAAAAACATTGCAACAGATACCCATATATCTTTATAATCAGAATATTTTTATAGCACAGATTTCCCAAAGTGAACTTGCTAGACCAAAGGATATTTATATATAAATATAAATTATATATAATATCTTTTAAAAATTATAGCAAAGCACACCCAAAGCAATGTATAAAAACGTCTGTTTCACCTGGCCAGTATGGTTCAGTGGTTTAGCATCAACCCATGCACCAGGAGTTCACTGGTTCGATTCCCAGTCAGGACACATGCCTGGGGTTTGGACTTGATCCCCAGGGGCTGGTGTGCAGGAAGTAGCAGATTGATGTTTCTCTCTCATCAATGTTTCTAACTCTCCCTTCTCCCTCTCCCTTCCTTTCCCTCTAAAAATCAATAAGAATATTTTTTAAAAAAAAGAATGTTTGGCCCTAACTGGTTTGGCTCAGTGGATAGAGTGTCGGCCTGTAGACTGAAGGGTCCCAGGTTCAATTCCAGTCAAGGGCATGTACCTTGGTTGCGGGCACATCCCCAGTAGTGGGTGTGCAGGAGGCAGGTGATTGATGTTTCTCTCTCATCAATATTTCTAATTCTCTCTCCCTTCCTCTCTGTAAAAAATCAATAAAAATATATTTTTTTAAAAAAAGAATGTTTGTTTCTCTGTATTCTTGACAACACTAGACATTTTGAATCTGATGGATGAAAAGTTGTACACCTCATGCTTGTTCTAATGAGGTTGAACATGCACCTGGGTCCTTTATGTTATCAACCATTAAATCCCCTCTCTTGAATTGGCTATTCATTTCTATACCCATTTTCCTACTGGTTTATCTTTTCCCTACCAACCTGTAGGGCCATTTTAAACCTTAGGGATATTGACCCTATATTTATAATACATTCTACTAATATCTTTCCAAGTCTATAAATTATCTTTTGACTATGATAAAAATGTCTGTCACATAAATTTAATTTTTATGTTGTCAAATTAAGATAATGATCAGGAGTTCTTCCTGGCTATTTAGACAAGTTTCCCTCACTTCAATTTTTTTTTAAATCATATTTTTTCTCTTTTAGATTTTAAGATTCCACATTGGCAGAGAAAAAAGGAACTTGAACATTGATAGTAAGAAGTGTATTGCTTCCTTTTACATAATGAAAATTAGTAAACCTACTTTCAAGTTTGTGATACTGCTTTATTCTCAGGGCAAATGATTCCATGTTTTTAAAAATACTAATATAAACAGAAATAAATATGCAATTTTTGAACATAAGATACATTTCAATAACTACACTCAAACATATCAAGTTCTAATGAAGTAGAAAATGGGGGAAAATAAACATTTGTACATAAGAACTGAAAATATTTAAGTCAAACCATATGAAACTGCTGTTTTGTAAGTCTACAAGAACTGGCAACCGGGAACTTCATATAGTTCAGTCTAATACTTTACAAAAGCTACATCTGAGAAAATCTGATGCTAAAAAATAAATTCTCTGCCTTAGAATGTAGCTTATTCATTCTTCAAAATGTATCAGTTCTCTTTTCTTTTTTTATTGAATTTAAAGCTTAATCAAGTCTGCATCATTGCTATATTTTAAGCATTAAGTAGCATAAAATATCTATGGGATCTACATTGGCTAAAATAAAAATTGCGTTATATATGTTATGTACATTTTACAAAGTAAATATACGTAACTCAAACTTCTGCACAAGTACACCAACAGTTTGCTCATGAGAATAGAGTATCTGAACGAGAACGCGTTTTTACCGTGTAGGATCTCGGGAGCGATGAGATTCCCCTTGAGTGAGAGCCAAAAGGTCTCGGTGTGACCACAGATGTCAACCTAGCTGTATCAGTTTTCTGGTAACTTCTGGGGAGAGAAGCTGAAACTCGAGTCGACTCCATTTGTGTAGTCAGTGAACGCTGGGAAGACAAAGAGGCTGGGCGTTGTTCTTCCGTGGGGCTTTTAGAAGGAAGCCGAACTTCAGCTGGTAGAGTGTCCTCTCTTTTCACAACAGTCGTAGAATCTTGTTTAGGAATTTCTGTAGGATAAGTTGTTCCTTTCTCTTCTACTCTCTCACCCTGGTGACTTGCTTCTGACATAGTTAGTGTCAGGGGAAGCTTGTCTTCACTCAATACATCATCAGAAGAATATATTCTACTCCTCGATGTAATTGTAGACGTCTCATTTCGGGATCCCCTTAGCAGAAACACACCATAGCCGCAAAGTTATGCATTTGGCATTCAAAGGTGGGGAGACAGATCTTATTTTGGTAATTAGCATATAAAATGAGCTGGGAATAATGTGCAATACTAACTTCACACAATGTGCAATATAATACTAACAGAATATGAGGATAAATACATGCAGTTGTTTTATGCCACACTAAGAAATATTATAAGAGCTCGACTTTCCTTTTCAGAGAGGCTCTCAAATACTTCACAGGGATTTTTTTTTAAGTTGTCAAGATAAATAAGGAAATGAAATTCTAATAAGGAATTATTCGCCAAATTTAGCCACAAGTTTATAAGTCTTCCAAAATTGACACACTACACATATAACTGCCTGACAACCAATTTGAACCCTCCAAAGACGTAGATTCCTTGTCAGCCCTGTATTTCCTGTACATGCTTTATAATAACTTAGTAAAAATAAAAGACTGCAAAAGACACAGACTTCCATTAAGATCAAGTTATTATCTAGTTTCATACAGCTTCACAGAATTTGCACAGACAGTTATTACAGATTAAAAGTCACCATTCATACGTATGGAGAAATGACGAAACAGTCTCATCTCTAGCATTTAGTAAGGAGTGCCTCTGAAGCTGACAGCTGCATTTAAGTGAATGAAACTGTGTTTGCAGTTGGCTTCTGGGGCATAAAGGAGCTTTGTGTAATTTCACCTGACAGCACATTTCCTTTCAACATTATCCTTAAAGCATATTTGCCGTTTCCCTGAGCTGTACATATCCCAAGGTTTCACAGAGTAACTGCTCTAACAGGAAATTTTAATTTGACCTTTATTCTGTTATGTTTCAATGCAAAAAATAAACCCTCACAATTTATTTTTATAAAGTCTTCCTTTAAAATATAATGTTAATTGTACCACTGAAACATGAAAAATAACTCTGTTATATTTTACACAATTTAGTTGAGTGTGGGAGCTGGTTTTATTTGACCATTCCATTCCTAAGTTCATTTTAAAAGGAGAAAAACAATAGTTCCTTTTCTGTGCCAAATATAGCCAATACCACCTAATTCTGCATATGAATATTCAATGTAAAATGAAGAAATAATGTATATCTATTTAGTACAAATTTCTTTTGTCAATCCAAGCCACTATTTATCATAGCAATACTTGGCTTTTTCATGGCTAAGCAAAATGCTGAAAGTTTCATTGCATATTTGGTTACAGTTTAATCACCCTGCACATGCACAAAATGTCCATTTCTAACCCTGGTCTCTCTGACCAGGAGATCTATCCAGTCTATTACCTGTCCTGCAGCATTTCCTTAAATGTCTTAGAGCTTTTCTCAGATTTCTCCAGCGCCTGCTTTTCAATTTCTTCTCTCTCTTCTTTTTTCTTCTGCAAGTCTGAAGTGTAGCTTTTTCGACGATCTTTCCATTTTGCAAGGTCCTAACAGAAGAAAATCACATCAGCACAGGCATACCTGAATTGCTACACACCCTTTCTAGCAGTGCGAGCGTGCCAGCGGATCCCATTACATCGCTGAAACTATTCACTCCCACTTGATGCCAAGGTGCCCTAATTTTGCTTTTTATAGCCAGCGTTTCTGTACCAAGCCTTTATCTCATGTGTCTGCCTAAAAAACCTGACCTAATAAGATAGACCCCATTTTTGTTTTCCTGCCTCGTTGCCCATTTCACAAAGAATGCTAAATGCTTGTAATTAGGTGCCAGGTCAGAAAGAGCAGGAACTGTTTCAAGTTCATTTTCATCTCACTCCAAGAATCTGGCTGCTGTATGAAATGACATGTCTTCACCAGTAAAACTGGAAAAGAAGATGATTATTAAATGGTTAAGCGTGGATGCACACTGGGTCTTCCATTGAACAAGCCCTGAGCTCAGTCCCTGCTTGGAGGCAAAGGGTGAATAAACATAGATAATCCGATGTGCTCCCCGCTCCCAGGAACTCTCAGTCTAGAAGGGGAAGACAGGTATGTAAATAAAAATTCAGCAATGAGTGCGATAGGGTTGCTGAGAGAGTCGGGGTCCAAAGGAGAGCATGGCCTACCTCAGGCAGGAGTTTCAAAAGGCTTTACTGGGGAGGCCAGCCTCGAGTACTGACTTCTTCAGAATGGAAAAACTTTACATAAGGACAGGGCAATAAGGAAGATCACACAGAACAAGGGGACAACTGTTCCCATATTCCTAGGAAGGGAAGTCTCTCCCAGCCAGGTGAACCCAGGACGATCAACCTCGTTCACCTTGACATTAGCCCTGGCAGTCTAAGCTGGTTCTGACACCCAGGGGTTCAAGGCATTTTCAATGGTACAGCCTTTTCTATGTCTCCCAAACAGAGAAGTGCCATTCACTCCGGCCCAAGTAGGAGCCTCTCCAAGTTCTCAGACTAAATGGAACCTCACCCCTAGGACGTGCATCGTTAAGTTTGGTTTAAACCCTCTGGGAGTAGACCAAGCTACTCTGCTTTAAAAACAACCTGAAACCTATTTGAACTATTTGCAGAAAGAACAAAAGCAGTGTGCATTTCATACTATAGGATCACAAGCATGCATTTTTATCTGATCTAACCTAATTGATAACTCCTCAATACTTACTATTTTCACACCCAAACAGTTACCATGTATGTTGGCAAAATGACATTGAATTCCTATTTCCTGACAATTAAACTGAGTCCCCAACTCAAAGAGGCACTGGAATTTTGAAATGTGGCCACAGCAGGGGTTTCTCCTTCATGAATTAGACCTTAATTCCTTTGAAAAATTAAGATTTACTCTCTCTGGGCCTTTTGTTCATGCTACCACTCAACTCTATCACCATAAAGATGTCCTCAAACATCTTTGGGTTTGCTTTCTATAGCTTATTATACTTTTATACACTGCTTTGGTTTATAACAATTACCCCTTTCAAAATAGGCCAAGCTCCTTTCTGTAGGAACAAAACTATGACAGTTCTGTGAAAACACCTAACTTTGATTCAGATTATACGATTACATTTTCAACCAACCTATTTCTTCTTAAATCTCCTCTACTAACTCTAACAACCAGTTCATCTCTCCACGCTGATGCCCAGACTCTGCTGAGCCCCTGCTGCTTTCCAGACCCTGAGCAAAGCTTCTTCCTTTCATGAGCATCAGTAACGGTCCCACCCGAATTCAGAATTCAACTACCAACGCACGTCAACAAGTTAGCAACATTGCCAGGAAGGAGCTTCTCCTATAGGAGAATTCAGAGAATATTAGAAGATAAACAGCTTGTTGTGTTTTGCACAATGGCCTTTAAAATATACAACAGTAATGGACCAAGAAGGTTTAAAAATCTTCTTAAAGGAAGATGGTCACATTTTCTACAAGCCTGAATTCTTTCATAGCAAGGAAAATCACCTCTTGAGTACACTGACTTGGTTTGCAGGGAAGCAAAGAAAAGTCAAACCCACACACCTGCCCAGTCTTCCCATCTCCCAATACAAAGCATACTCACATCCTGCCATTTCTGATCTTGCTCTTTTAATTGGGATTTCATCTTCTGCATCTCCTCGTAACGCAGCTGCCGCAAGTTCTGAACATCTTCGGCGCTGACATCGCTCATGGACTTACTCCTATAACAAAAATACCCACGGTAACCAAGGTTCACATGACTGGATGTAGAGTTAAAACTGGGAGGTTGGGCTTAGACTTGGAAATTCCATCTAAATTTCTGCCGTACTACCTAGATGCTTTAGAGATAATATCACAGAAATAGCACTACAGAGATAAATGGTGTTTTTCCAAAACGCAGAAACAAGAGCCTTGCATGCAACTCAAGTGTGAATTCTTTCACAAAATGGCTAAATGAAACCTCCTACGTCTGAAAAAAAAAATCCAATGCTCATATTTAGAGTGGTCTCTGCATAAAAGAACTGTTTCAGAAAAAAAGTAATTATTATTAGTCACTAGAATCATTTGTCTTTATTTTTCTATCTCTCCCCAAGATAATCTTTTAAGGTTTGGCTGCCTTTTCTGGACACTTATTAAATAATTTAATGATTACCTGATATTTTCTCCTCAAGTTCAATAGCATGAATAAGTGTGCTGCCTTTTCTCAAAGATTGTATACCACCTGCCCACCACTGCACTGGACTTCTTCTCAAAGCACCACAGGTAGTTTCTAATAAGATAGCCTCCATAGCCTCCATAGCTTTCTTTTTATTAAGGCAGCTCTCATGTCTTCCATGGGTGCCCCCTGCCATGAGGATGTACTGAGAGTTAGCTTTCACAGAGCTCAATCTAGAGTAGAAACCGATGAACAAAGTTGGATGTCGGACACAAGGCACATGTGTGCTACATACATGCTGGGGTAAACTGCCCCCAGAGATGGTGAAACTGAGGGGGGAAAAAGAGTGGAGTCAGGTCTAATATTGAATAGCAGGTAGGAATGAGTGAAGAGAGAGAGAGACAGAGCTTTTGAAGGTGGGGTGCCCAAAATGCTCTCTCCTACAAATCTTTCATATGGCACTACTGATTTTATTTCATAACTGACTCCACCTTTATTCATTTAAGTAACACGACACCTCCTTCTTGGGCCCCTAAACTTTGCCTTCCCCTAGATCTTGCCATCACCACATTACTTAGCTCAGGAATTCAACTGTAATCTATACAAATGACTCCCAAATCCACAGACGAGGACCAGTCCCCTCCTTAGACTCAATTCTAATTGCTCATTAGATAAACATCTCTGCATGGACATCCCCTAACCATCTAAATTGTAAAAGGACCAAATGAAATAATATCAAAAAGGATTCTGTAAACAGTAACTCACTGAACACATGGTTATTGTTAATGTAGCCAAATTCAATTCTGTCCCCAACCCTGTTTTCCCTCCTATAGCTGTTAGTAGTGTTGCCTGCCCTCCAATCGTCCACATCTGAAACCAAAGAACCATTTTTCACCTTTGCCTCTCCCTTCTCCTTACTTTCAATTAGTTATCAAGTCCTCTTACTCAGTGTCTTTTTCTTTCCATTTCTATTGCCAACACCCTAGATCAGAGCACAGTCAACTCTTAACTAGACTTTTTGAAAAGCTTCTTAAATTATCACCCAGTCTCCAGATCCCATGATGGTCTTTCCTGAACTGTCCCCTCCACTCAAAAGCCCTTCCCCAGTATATATGCCTTTTCAAATGCCCCTCTGTCCTCAGGAATCCTGCTAGACTAAACTCCGAATGGGTGTAAGCGATATCCACTTGGAAGTCTAACAGGTCAAAGTTGTCACAGACCAAAACCATGATTGCTCATTCTACTATCTGCTCAAAACCCATCTTTCTCATCCCAATAAAAGTCAACACAACATTCCAGATTGTAGGCCAAAATTCTTGGAGTCATCACAGACTCCTCTCTTTCTCTCATACTTGTCACTGATCTCCTTAGTAAAACCTGTCACTCTACCTTCTAAATATATCTAGGATACAACCACTCCTCATCACTTCCTTGCTCCAGGCTATTAATCTCCTGCTGTATTATCACAATAATCTGGCTCCCTACTTCCACCTCTTCCTGCCCAACAGCGTATTCTCAACATAGCAGACAGGAGTCTCAAAATTGCACTCAGATCATGCGTCTACTCAACACCCCAATTCCTTCCCATCTCACTCGAGTTAAAAACAGGTCCTACCAAGAATTACAAGGTCCAACCATGACCTGGTCCCCACCTACATCTCTGCACTCATCTCCTGAAATGTTCTCCTCCACTCACTCGGCTACTGCCAACTGGCTTCCTTGTTCATGCTCACATATAAGCTCTTCACCCAAATATCCACATGGCTTACCTCTCACTCCGTCACCTGCTTAAATGTTATCTCAGTGTTTCCTTGCAAAAATAGCACATGTCCCTCTCCCCTGGCCCACCTTTCTCCATAGCATATATTGCCATCTGAAATGTATGCTTATGTTGACATCACCTGCCTTGTCCTATAAGATTACAAAGCAGGAGTTTTGTCCGGTTTGTTTACGGCTATATCACCTGTGCCTCAAAGAGAGCCCAGCCCATGCATGTGATCATAAATGTATTAATGATCTAGATAATATTCTGCCACTTTGATAAAGTCTTCCTAGCTCCTCCATGCCAAAAATGGTCTGTCTGTCCCTTCTCCCAACTTCTCTAGTGCTTTAGTTCTACCTTTCTCATGGTATCTAACAATCAGCATATTGTGTACATAGTGTGTGCACAAGCATGCATGTTTGGCTTAGCTCCCTCACAGGTTCACACATTGCCTGGGAGGAAAACATAGCACAAGGCATGCAGGATACATGCATTTAACATCTGTGATAGGCATAAGGAATGTTTTATCACATTTAATCAAGCAAAATAACTGGAAATGTTTCTAATATTCTGTAAGAATGTATAACTCCTCCCCAAAGTTTTATAAAGAAAGCTTTATAGCACTTATTAAGGAATACTAAAGAATTACATATAGGAAATATATGAATTTACATATGAAATTATATATTGCTCTATGAATGTAATATTACTTAACTAGGTATGACTATATAAAACTGATCTGTATAAATTTGAGGATATAAATTTACTTAATTCACAAACTGCAAAGAATTAGGCTATTTCAGCTAATACTATAACAGACTCACCAAAAAGAGGCAAGGAAAAATGTTCACGATCAAGACATGAAGGGAATCTGGATACTTAAGACACAAGGCTATGAAAATTTCACATCAAAAATGGAAATGCAAATAGGATAGTAATATTATGGTGGGGGGACAGCTGGCTGGTCTCGACTGGCCCAGACTTCTACACCGGAGCTCTCTGAGACCTCACCTCCTGCAGTGCAGAACCTGAACTTGTGCCTTTTCAAAAAACATACTCATCATGGGCAGGGCAGCCTCCGGAGAGCCCACGCACAGAACCTGGCACACAGGCAGTGCCCAACGTGAACAAAGTGAGCCAAACACTATCAGGAGCTGACAAGTCCCTGCACAGGGCAGGCATGTGAGCGCCTTCTGTTCCCTGGGGAGCATAAAGTTTCCTACATAAGCCTGAGCACTTTCCAGACAGGCTGAGCCAGGCACTGGAATGAGACAGGAGGTGGGGGCTCCGGGCCTGCCCGTGGCAACAATTTTCACCCCATCCTAACATCGTTTCACTTCTCTGAGCCTCAGTTCCCCATTCAAGAAAGGGATTGTTATGAGATTTGGGTAGGTTATGCGGACTGCATGTCAACAACCTTCTCGTGCTGTACACCAACTCTTCTTATGAAGGCAAATGTAACTGTGTGGGATCTTCTGAAAACTAACTCCCAAAACAGTTTCAAATTAGAGAGGTCATCCCAGGCCACACTGATAAAATCTAGAACTTTTGGAGTGCGGGAGTGTTCTAGCCAGATCATGAAGAATTCTTTCTTTCCTTATCAAAGTTGACAGCATAATAAACTTCTGAGGGCTGACTGTGAGCCAAGCAGCCTAACCGGGATTATCTCATCAGACAAAACCTCAGTCCGGTTCTGCCACTCACTAGCTGACGACCTTGGGAAAGCTGCTTCCCTTTCTCCATGTTTCTAAAATGCACACAATACCCACCTGTCTACCTTACAGAAATGAGATGAGCACCAGAGATAGTCGCAGGAAAATTGCTTGGGAAACTACAAAAGACTGCGCGCGCTGATGTTCACTAGCCAATCACAATTCTTACAATTCATTTATCTGCCGCCCTTAAATCTGGAGAGGCTTCCATTTAGAACTGCTTTGGATTTTTTACAAAAATGAAAATACAGTTCTAATATGTGGCATTTTTAGCTGAATCGACTTTTCTTGAATAGCACTTAGGGTAAAGAGAGAAAGAAGGGGAAAGGTAAAGGAAAAAGGTATAGATTATAAAACAGTATTACTAAAATCTTACTCTCTTCTCCCATGATACTGATCAACTGCTACTCTCCTGGCACTTTTTGACTAGTTTTATGATGTGTATTATTTTAGAACTCAATTTCAGAAAACTTATAGATGAATATCTAAGGAGTGAGGGATCAAAAAGGACCAGTGTGTAGCAAAATTTCCTTACTATAAAAATCACTGATAGCCTCATGGGGCAGATAGAACTTCTATGATACTAAGTTAGGGGCCCCAACCTTCAGAGGAAGATATAAATATACTTATTAATGCACCTCCAAATACAGGGTGGGCGAAAGTAGGTCTGCAGTTGTGAGTATGTGAGGCACAGAGTTTATTCTTGTACTATTATTAATTATTGTATTATTTTCCATATTAACAACTGTAAACCTATTTTTGCCTTACCCTGTATACCTCCATTAGATGTTGCAGGAATTCACTAAACTAAAGGGTAATCAATACTAAAACCAGGGTAAGAGGCTTTAGAGCTGCCACAAACTAGATTGATAAACAATATAAAGGAAACTTTTCATTTATAGGTTTATAGTCTAAGTCAGGGTTTCTCCACAGAAGTACTATTGACATTTGGGGCCAGAAAATTATCTGTGTTTGGGGGCTATCCTGCCTACTGAAGGACATTTAGCAGCATCCCTGCTGTAAAGGAACTAGATGCCAGTAGCAATGCCTGCCTCCCCCCGCCCTCCAAAGGCTCACCCAGTATGACAGTCAAAAATCTGCAGATATTGTCAAATATTTCCTGGGAGCATAATCCCCAGAAAGTAATTCACATCAACATTATTTTCCCTTTCTTTTTGTTGTCTTGGCAATAAAAAGATAATTGGCAGCAGATTCAATGGCTTAATCATATTGCAAAATTATAACTGTATATCCTTACATATTTGTCCTTAGAGCATCCACCAAGACCATAAAGGCATAAGTCCATGCAACACAAAAGCACACATGTGAGAAATGACTGCCACATACAAAGCGTCTTACTAAAAATACACAAGTGACAAGTGTTAAATGCCAAATAAAAAGCAAGCCAAAAATTAATAATCTAAGATTTCAAAATCTAATACACATTTCTCTTTAACCTGGTTCTTACCAAAAAAAAAAAAAAAGCATTCATTATTTTTCAACCATAGGATGTTGAACAATAATGATTTTCTAGGTAACATATATTATGTCCAGAGAAATATCACCCAGGAATATCAGTTATTTTATCCTTATAAACACTTATGAACATCTTTATAAACATGAAATAAGTTCCAGATTAAAAGCCTATATTCAATCCTATTTTTTGTTTTCATTGCAGATCAATTTAAGAAAAATATCAGTAACTGACAGAATATGGGGGGGGGGATACAATATAATAGATTTTTTATTGCAAATGGCCTAAAATGCACTTGAGTTTTGTGAGAACATATTTGTATTTGTGTTACTTTCCATTATTTGACAAGGCAAGCATTACTAGTATTCATCAGTCTCAATTCACAGACAATCTTTATTTGTGTTGTTCCCTTGTCACTAAATTGCCTTTATAACAAACATTATACTAGGCAAACAAGTCTTGAAATAATCTACAGGAGGCATTTGCTCCTGCTAGTGACAGCCCAGAAAAATCCTTTGCTTTCTGAGTCTTGGCATTTGGGTTTCTCTCTTTTCTTAACCCAGTTATATAACATATCCTTTGAAATAGCTGTACATGTTTCCATCCCTCACATGACTTGTACTCAGGGTACTTGTATCCACTTTAAGAAAAACAACCTATTTACATTATAAAGTCTTATTTACCAATGAAAATCCTTCTGAAAATTATCACTCAAAATGCTTGAAGCTGCAAAAAGATTTTTCATCAAGTTACAACAGCTTTGCCTTGATGAATCAAGATGAACAGGTGCTTAAGCATCTTGTTGAAGTTGCCGTGTTCATCCTCACTGATGAGAAGGCTTTAACACCTGAGGAGCTGGGGCGGGAACAACGTGTCCTTGCATGGCATATTCAAAACAGGCTGGGAGCCTGATTTTTAAAATCATCAACTGAGAAGTACTTGCAATGATGTGCCTGTGGTTCAGTTACACCTTTGGCATCCAGAATGGTTATATTGCTTTAAACAGCAATTTTAGCTACTTTTAAGACCTCTACACTATCAAATTATCAAAACTAGAGAATCTTCGAGATGAATTAAATCTTAGAGATGAATTAAGTAGGGAAAGATACTTAGCTACTCAGTCTTAGGCCTTAAATTTAAGATACTTGATTAAAGATTGATTAAAATATTTAAGTTTTCTTCTTGCTCAAAAATGTTAGCAGTTAGATTCACAACATCAAAGAAAGTTTGATGGAAAATATTTATTTATATGTAGCCACCTGGTTATTTTTTACTAAGAATAAATGATTCTATACAGTTAGTATGTAGTAAAAAGTAAAAGTAGTATTTACTTTTAACTCTACTATTCTGGAAATGGAAAATATTTCCAAAAGTTATTTTTATAATATTTATGGTCTATCAGGAGACTAAAATTAAAAAAACAGACAAAAATTAAGAATTAGTTATAAATACAGTCTTTGCAATAATACTGGAAACTACCAAGATTTTAATTTGTGCAAGTTTTGGAAGGCTAATTTGACTCTATAACATAGAATGTTTCCAAATCCTACTAAGGGAACATTAATGGCATTCACCATCCAAACTAAGAAAGCCCCCATATGTAGGAGTATACAGACAATGCCAACCACATGTATTCCAACCTCAAAGTAAATGCTAATATCCTCTTTCCATCAAAGATTTTTCTAAAATGCAATTATGCAGTATCCCACATCTAGAAAGGAGAATTATAATAATCAAATACCAAAATAAATATGCCCAATCTCAGGTAAGTGCTTTTGTTACTTTTAATCAACTCCTTAAAAAAAAACAACACCTGAATTTTGAACCATTAAAACAATTCTATTGTTGTGATATAGCAGTTCATGCACTGAGCACTCAGACACACTACCATTAGGTTGCTAAATTAAGAAAAATATACCGTTTTAATATCTCATGCAGAGCACACAGCATCCACGTTTAGTAACATGCCAGGATAGAAGTGCAATGACACATTACACAAAGGACAAACAATGTGCAGAGATTTCTTTTTTGCTGCAAACCGCAACACTTACCCATTCTCACCATAAATCTTTTGAAAGAGTCTAAGAAATCAGAAAACCAAAAATTAAAAGTCATTTCTGCCAGTGTGTTATTTTTTAAATGTTCGACGTTTTTAACTTAAAGTGTCTAACAAGAGATGGACAAATCTCAAAAGGTTGCTTTTCCAGTCACATTCCTGATCATGTCTCAAATTCTCATTGATCTCATATCTCAAGGAATTCACATTAAGCAAGATCAAGAGTTTCCGGATTTAGCTTGAACTAACAAACCCAAAACAAAAAGCTTTATTAGTTGCCAGGAACTAATAAAAAAGTTAGATTTGCATCTACTAAGTTTATTCAACCTAATCACATTTGCCCATCCCAAAGTTCAACAAACTGAACATTCATCAAACATCAAGTTGCATAACACATAAATGTGTTCATTATTCTAAAAATGGCCATAATTACATACATGTAAAATTTAGCAGACAGCAAATAATATTCATGCATTTTAATCAAGTTTGCACTACACTTTGAAACTATAAATTTAGAAATTCACACACTTATAGTCCAAGAAACCTAGGTCAAAAACAAAAATCAAAAGCAAATTAAATGAAATTTGCAATGCCATATTTTCAGGGAAATTTTTACACAAAAATCACACACTCCAAAATGAGAAACACATAAAACCAAACTACAACCGGACTGTTTCAGAAACGCCTGGACACGAGAATAAAAGTCTGTAAATGTAATCAGAAAACATTTTCATGAAACACCATGTCGCAGAACAGTACCACAGTCTCTCCTTAAGGCCAAGGCAATGACTGTGTACAGACTTTCTTAAACAGGCCTCGAATAGGCGATTCAGTGATGTGCAAATATGGAATTGCACTTTTTCCATGAAATGTGCAAAGGTTTCTCAAAGCAAAATAAATGTTTAGAGGATGCTTCAAAATGGCTCATGACATGCAGTCGGGCAATATGATGCCACTTTCTCACACAAATAACACAAGACCATCCATTCAGTACAAGCGAAGTCCTTGCAGAAACACACTCTGACCTCTCAACCATCAGCCGTTTCCTGTGCCTAAGCCTGCTGGCCTCCCGGATGGCCTCCCACTTCCGTAAGTCCGCCTCACTGCAGGGACCGGGGATGAAACTGATGGGAGGCACAGAAGTTCCCAGCTTCCAATACTGGATCTTACGGGTCAACATGTCATCTGTCTTCTGCCGATACGAAGGAACTAGTACTCTACAGCTATTACTTTTCTCTTTGGATGGGCACGTCCTTTCAAGTACACAGAGAAACTTTGCTTGAATTTCTGGAGGAAGAGTCCAGGGCTCGGGGAAAGGGATTGGTTGGTATCTATCTGGGGCCCCCGAGAGAGGCACCTCTTTCTTCTGCGCTGGAATTCGGCGGACAATCATATCATCTTTCTCTAGATCTGGAAGTACGAGTTCACCTTCTCTGCACTGCAGAATTATATCTCGCTCTACAGGATCATCTCGCCCAGAAAACCTTCTGAAGTCTTCGAAAGCTCGGAGAACACATGGATTGGCATGGAAAGCCCCAGTCTTTCTGACAAAGAAATCGTCATTCTCTAAGTCAGGATCGAGGGCTGACATCTCAAGGTCACCTCTTCTATACCCTGGTGCATAAGAGAGATGCCTCCTGCGAGTTATGAGCCTTGGGCCAGCAGTGGGATCAAGTTTGATATTTGTTTCAGAAGATAAGATGTCATCAGAATATGTTTGGAGGGCCTGAAGTAATAAAAACGGACTGAAGCACAGAAAAGAAAAAGGAAGGGAGAATCTTATTAAGTGCATTAAGGAGAATAGGTAATTAGGTAGCAGACCAACTAGCCACTATTGTTTAATTACAGGGGGCATGGGAAGGACTCTTGTGTGGAAGACTGGCATTGAATGCCACCACCTGTGCCTTTCCTGGATACCACTTAAAGAAACAAGAGCAGAGGATACAGCTCAGGAAAGGTGGGCACCAAGCAGGCCAAGTGATAGGGCTTGAACTGGGGAGAGAACAGCTCCCTGAGATACAATGCAACTCTTACTGTCACCTCTTCCTCATTCCATGAGCCACAATGACCTCATTCTCATCCCAGAGATGCAGGAATGATCTTGAAAGGTTTTAGAGTTGGTCATGAAGCACTGTATGCAATAGGCACTGGTAGGAAGCAGACATTTAAAAACTACAATGCTCTGAAGCTGTACAAAAGACCCTGATGACTCTTCTCTATGCATTTTCCCACCAGACTTGCCTGTCCTCCTGTCCATCTGAAAGTTATTTCCTTTATATCTCCACACATAGTACAACTGTAAAACTAGGTCCACTTTTCTTTTTCTTTTTTTAAACATATTTTTATTCATTTCAGAGAGGAAGGGAGAGGGAGAAAGAGATAGAAACATCAATGATGAGAGAAAATCATTGATTGGCTGCCTTCTGCACGCCCCCTACTGGGGATCGGGCCCGCAACCCAGGCATGTGCCCTTGGCTGGAATCGAATCTGGTACCCTTCAGTCTGCAGGCAGATGCTCTATCCACTGAGCCAAACCAGCTAGGGCGGTCTACTTTGCCAAAGGCCTTTTAGAAATGGTTTTCCAAAAGAACTGGCTATGCCACATGTAACTCCATACTATTTTATACATGACTATGCTAAAGAATACTTAATCCTATAGACTTCCAAGCTTACATGTCTGCACAGAAAGCAATATGCTATACATTATGCTTTTATACTAAATATTAAGTGAGTATAGTTTCATGATTCAACACATCATGGTCAGAGGTTAATGGCGCAGCAGAAGCCGGCTGGGTGTTGCATGCCAGACTCCAAGCAGGAAGGCTCATGCAGGCAGGTACACCTGGGCTCGCCCGAAGCACCACTGGTTCTCCTGGCTGCATGGGTGTCCCATGTGCTCCTGGCTACTTCCATCAGGAGTGAACGTCTTTGGCAGGTGCCGTCTAGCCTACGCTCTGCTTTCTGCATCCTACTAAGAATGGCAGAGCTTCTGTCAGAGCCTGAATCCTCGTCCTCAAAGTCTGGGCTCCATCTACTGTGGAATGAGGCAGAGAAAGGAAGGAGAGAGGGAAGAAGACAAAGAATTGGAGAAAAATATAACTAAATAGTGTCAAGCTATGACTATGTATAGAGGAGGACGTGTTAGGATCCAGATCCCAAAGTTTAAATTTAAATGACTTTTTTTTTTCCAGTTACAGAGGTTCTATAGATGTTGGAAGGAAATCAATCTGTCTCTTTCATAAAAAGCACACACAGAACGCACCCAGCCAGGGCACTGAATGAACACTAGACTGACAGAAACAGGCATAAAGACAAACCTGAATCCCTGAAATTCTTTATACCATGGCTTATAAGTTTCCCTTTTTATTCTTTTCCAGTTCACATCTTCTGGGATCCAACATTTGGGAAGAAACTGATCAAAAGTGTTCCCTGGGTTTGGCATGATGGGGCTTAGCTTTCGCACGTAAAGGTCATCCTTTACAGTGTCGGGGATGCTTGTCCTCTCTTCTTCCTCCTCCAAGTAACAGAAGGAGTCTGAAGTTTCTTGTACTGCTGTCCAGTTCTCCACATGTGTGCCCCAAGTTCTTCTCTCGTTACTGTTCAAAACATCCAACCAATTAAGATACTGCAAGATCAACGTGTGACAGAGAACACAAAAGGCATGCTTCCTGGCTCACAAAGTCTATACCACTGCGAATGAAGCAAATTAGTTTCCCTTCTCATCATTAACGCTCCTAGAACAAAGTTATGGCAGCATCACAGCACCTCATTTTAATTAGACAATAGCTTGATACACGAGGGCCGAAGATAACCATCGGTGCTAAAAGGAGACAAATTGCCAACAGTTTGGGGGGTTACTTTATGTAGCACAATCAACAGGATGGACATCTGGCCCCGGGAGAAATTTTTCTGACCTCGTCAGTTCACATAGCCCGGTGGCTACCGGGTCAGCAGGAGAAAGCAAGTGTGAACAAGAGTTAGGAGAGAGAGTTTTTGAGATGAAACTCTCTGGGCTCTTTCTCACCTGGAATCTAAGGTTGGCTAAGTCATCCAAAACTATAGGAAGGCAACCTTTGCTCATCCTCGGCATCCGATCCACTTTCGGGACCGAATGCCTCCTTCTGACAGGAAGCTGCTCTGCTAACCTGATGAGAAATCAACATGGGGGGCGGCGGGCAGCTGCACAGCTGAGCTCCCAAGGAATAATGTAAGTCACCCAGTAAGCTGCAAGATACCAATAATGCTAAAGGCAGGCATCTAAAAAAAGAACCAGCAAATCATATGCTGACATTTTTAAACGGAAGAAACAGCTTCAAGATATGAATGACTAAAAATATAGGGGGGGGAAAACATTTTCATTAATGAAGTTTAAAATATTATCTATGAAATATAGGTTAAGGACCATCCCTTTTACCACATTTAAATATCCCGGCACATTTGCAAACACAGGATATTGTAAAGCTCAATCATCGGATCGCATCCCAGTACCTTGGAAAGGTCCCATCAGCTTCTGTGCCGACCGGGCTTGCCCAGCTTCTTCTGTTATCCTCATGTCTGTCCGGCTTCTTCTTCCTCAAGGGCGCCGGCACGTAGGACGGCTGTCTACTTTTGTTGGGTAAGAAACGATTGAATGGTAAAGCAGACTTTGGTTCAATGGCCGAAATCCTTCGATAGGACATATCATCTTTATTATATTCCTGCATTTTGAAGGTAAATTCAGAATCTGTGTCGCTTTCGCAACCTGTAAAAATAAAAAGGCACAAGAACTGGCTTTATTCTCCAGATTACTCGTCTTGCTGAAACCCACACGGCATGCCTGCTTCGTCTTTCCCTACTGCTAACTGCGGGAAATATTTTTAGAAATTTGTCATGAAGTTGCGATAAGATCCATTAGGAGGAACTGGCTTTGCATACTGGAGGCGCCTGAGGTACATTCTTTCACTGTTGCACATTTTCGCAGAAAAAGTCCCAAATTACAGCTGAAACCCTTTTCTTCTTGACTCTCCTTGCCCATATAATTTTTCATCAAATTTGTTGATGGAATACATGTCAATAAAACCTAACAATACATGTCCATAAAACACACTTAAAATGAGATATAAAAGTAATTCTTGAGAGACAGTAGTTTAAAATAAAGCATGCAACCATCTAAAATTTGTGTGAGGTAAGAGATAAGGGAGGACACAGAAAAAGTAGAAAGCACAAAAGATCTTAAAGGGGGTCGGTAGACCATTCTGAGACCCCTATCAGCAAGAATCACACATTAGGTCTGAGACAGGACCAAATGTCTTCTAACGCCCCATAGGAATGTCAAGTTTCATACCTTAATGAGAACACAGAAGTCAGGCTTTTTCTAAGGGTGGCCGTGGGAACTACATTTTTGATACAAAGTCATTTAAACACAAATTCAAAGGACTACACCTCAAAGTCAGATCCACACAAATACAATCCGCTCTCTTAAAACTAACTAAATAGATGTGCTCTTTTAAAGACGGGAGGAGAAGAAGTACAGAACACTACTACAGATCCGGGCCAAGTTGTCGCCCGCTCCTGCCCTTTCTTCCTTCCTGCCTCTGTGTATTTCTACTAGTAAAGAAAGTTTGCTAATGTGGCTTGCTTCCCACCCAGGCCGACTACCTGAGCACTGCACTCTCTCAGCACACAGAGCAGAGCGCCTGCAGGGTTAACCTGAGCTACAGGCCGTCTTCTCTCCTCCCTCCTGCCTGGCAGGAATCTACAGTAAATAACAGGGAGACTGGCCTACAGGAAGTGGTTTAACACACAGCTATGTAAGCAGGAGACCTGAACAGGGTGAAGGAGAGGAACAGCAAAATGGGAGACATTTAACCAGCTCTCACCAGGAGGATTTACGGTCAATCATCTGGTGCTCCGGTTGTTTTTACCACCTCCTACATAAACAGTACATTTTTTGGAAATGAGAGAAATGTCTTAATTCTTGCCAAAATTTGTACATGTGAAATCTTAAATACACAAAGAGATTGTGCTACTCGGGAATATTTTTCCCATCTTTATTGAGATATAATTGACATATAATAGTGTATATGTTTTTGTTTTAATATCTTTTTTATTTATTTCAGAGAGGAAGAGAGAGACAGAGAGACAGAGAGACAGAGAGAGAGAGAGAGAGAGAGAGAGAGAGAGAGAGAGAAGCATCACTGATGAAAGAGAATCATCGACTGGCTGCCTCCTTCACGCCCCCCACTGGGGATCGAGCCCACAACCTGGGCATGTGCCCTGACTGGGGAATGAACCATGACCTCCTGGTTCATAGGTCAATGCTCAACCACTGAGCCATGCCAGCCGGTCAATAGTGTATGTGTTTAAGGTATACAGTATGATTTGATTTAAATATATTATAAAACAATTACTACAATAAGTTTAGTTAATGATGGATAAGTTTAGTTATCCATCATTCTTATACAGATACAAAAAAAAGACAAAAAAAATTCTTGTGATGAGAACTCTTAGGATCTATTTTCTTTTTTTTAATATATTTTTATTGATTTCAGAGAGAAAGGGAGAGGAAGGGAGAGATAGAAACATCAATGATGAGAGAGAATCATTGATCAGCTGCCTCATGCACACCCTCTACTGGGGATAGAGCCTGCAACCCGGGCATGTGCCCTTGACCGGAATTGAAACCTGGAACCCTTCAGTCCACAGGCCGGCGCTCTATCCACTGAGCCTAACCGGCTAGGGTAGGATCTACTTTCTTAACAACTTTCAGGTATATAACAGTGTTAATTAACTATAGCCATCATGTTGTTCATTTTATGAATTTTTAAAATTGTTTTTACTTTTGAGTCTAGTACAATGCTCTATAGCAGTGATGGTGAACCAATGACACGCGTGTCAGAGGTGACACGTGAACTCATTTTTTTGGTTGATTTTTCTTTGTTAAATGGCATTTAAATATATAAAATAAATATCAAAAATATAAGTCTTTGTTTTACTATGGTTGCAAATATCAAAAAATTTCTGTACATGACACGGCACCAGAGTTAAGTTAGGGTTTTTCAAAATGCTGACACGCCGAGCTCAAAAGGTTCGCCATCACTGCTCTATAGAGTAGGCAAATATTCTTGATATAGGGAGTTTCATATAAACCTAAGGAATTTGACCTTGCAATTCTGTTAACCTAAAACCATTATCCTAAGTTTTGGTGATCATCAATTTTGGACTATAACATGGTGGGTAGCAGAATTTTAATATACTAATCACACAAAAAACCTTTTATCAACCTGGTGGCCCCCAGGCTTTTTTATGACCCCTAGTTATAATTACCAAGTCTTCACTTCCACACTCTTTAACAAGGTCTGTAACTCCTTTTCCGAGATCAGGAAGCTGAGTGACAGTGGCCTCTGCTCTTGGTCACATGGACAGGCACCAGTCCAATGAGAATCAGAGAAGACTTGGAGTCCACACCACAGAACCACTGCATCTGAACTGTCTCAAGTCTGCATATTCCCACCGTGCCTCAATCTTCCTCTCTTTCACTGTTTGCTGACCAGATATAAATTTAAACTTTCAATGTTTTCACTTCTCTGGTCAGGACAGAGTAATATGAGTTCAGAATTTCAGCCTGTTTTTACAGCTTTAATTACTTAAATAAATTATAAATCAGATTCATTTCTTTAAAACTATTATAATACTCATCTAGACTATAAAAGTGTCACACTAAATAGCAAACAGCCAACAACTGCAGCAGTAATTATAAAGGTTAACTCTTCCCTAGCCATTCACATTTTTTACTGTTAGTTTTTAAATGCCATTTTTTGTGACCATGCTTAACACGTTGCTGATTTTTATTTTTGAAAGACAAATTCATCATACTTTGCATTTATGTAAATTTACCTAAGAACAACAAATAAAGATTGAACTCTAGTTAATGACCTGCATGCTAAAGTATTTAGGACAAGCGTAATATGCTCTGAAATGCCTCCAAAAAATAAGATGGATAAATTAATGCAGGGAGAGACAGGATAGGTATGTGATGAAGCAGATATAATAAAATGTTATGGTAGAATTATGTGGTGGGTACATGGGTGTTCACTGGAAAATTCTTCCAAACTTTGATGATGTTTGAAATTTTTTATAATGAAAATGTTAGAAAAGTCACTTAATATTAAAATAATAATCAAAATGAACAAGTAAAATTCCTAACAATCTAGTACAAACTCCCAACCCGAACTCTCAATTTTTTTCACATTAATGGTAGAAGCACCGAAATACTTGAAGCAACTTTACTCATGGTTCCAATCTAGTCCAATTTGAATTGCTAGAGGCATACATTTAGAAATTTCTTAGACCACCTGCCATTCACAGGAGTAAGACTTAGCATTTAATTAACTGATCTGACCAGGACACTGACATTTTGAAAGAAGTCTCCTCCCCAAAACAGGATGACTTTCATTAACATGCTCCTTTCACACTGACTCTGTCCTGTATTAGCTGACCCTTAGAGAATCAAAAGATGTTTTTTAACACCATGCTTATATTGTTATTTAATCAAAGTTTAGCATAATGTTATATCATGATAGATATCAATCATTTCTTCTCTTAGAGATCATTAAAAAGATGTCTGTCTAGTTCTTTTTCTTGAGAATTTTTTAAAATCTTTTTTGGGGGGGAGTAAGAGAAGGGAAATAAGAAATTAACTCAGGAATTAGAACAAACTTTTTAGGACCTTTTTTATGTTTAGATATACCAGTCAATAGGCCTCATAGGCACAGATTATTAACCCTGAATCTGGAGAGAAAATAATCAAATACATTATCACTGATAAAACAGATCACAGTTAACTGTTCCTCTTGTCTCCTCTGAAAATGGGAAGAAGAAAAAATTGAAACCACTACCCCTCTAGTGGTGATACAGTGAGGGAGGAAAAAAAAATTTTTTTCAATTACTCTTCAGTCCAGCCGGTGTAGCTCAGTGGTTGAACGTCAGTCCATTAACCAGGAGGTCGTGGTTCAATTCCCAGTCAGGGCACATGCCCGGGTTGCAGGCTTGATCCCAATGTGGGGTGTGCAGGAGGCAGCCGATCAATGATTCTCATCATTGATGTTTCTCTCTCTCTCTCTGCCTCTCCCTTCCTCTCTAAAAAAATCAATAAAAACATCTCTAAAAAAATCAATAAAAACATATTTTTAAAAATTAAAAATTACAATTTAGTCTCTATTTTCTTGGTGAAATTTTTGCCCTCAATAGTTTTCACCTCATTTTTCTACTCTCTCCCATTCCCAATTTTTTCTTAACATGCAAACAAATTCAAATAAACTGCCAGTCAAAAATACAACTCACTTTACCTAGCAGGTTTGGCTCAGTGGATAGAGCATAGGCCTGCAGACCAAAGGGTCCCTGGATTTGATTCCGGACCAGGGTGTGTACCTTGGTTACAGGCTCCTCCCCAACCTGGGCCCTGGCCATAGCTCATGCAGGAGGCAACTAATCTATGTGTTTCTCTCACATGGATCTTTCTCTGTCTTTCCCTCTCTCCTCCACTCTCCCTAAAAATCAATGGAAAAATATCCTCGGGTGAGGATTAACCAAAAAAAATGCAACTCACCTTCACGCCCACCCCTCAGCGTGATATCAGAGGAGCAGCTTGTGAAGGACCTTGAGCCCAGAGAGTCCAAGCTTTCAAATGAATCTTCTCTCCTATGGCTGCCTGGGGGCACAGGGAACTCTCCCCGGTCAGCACACCAGATGTCTCCGTACCCACTGTCCCTGCCACTTCGTTTCAGGCAGCTGGAGTCTTCAAGTGCCTAAAAAATTTTTTTAGAGAATAAGTTAGCATAAAATCCCAAACTGTAGTCAGTCATTACTTGTTTGTTTGCATAGCTCAAGTTGTGCTTCATTTGATAGGTGAGGCAACAAGGTCTCCTGTTAATCATAAAAATCTGATTTTAAAAAATCAGAAAATAAATCTGCGTTCCCACAACTAATAGTTGGTCCTCATGTAACAACAAAGAGGTATTCATTATTATTTAATAAAGTAGTACAATCTATATAAAATTAAGGAAGGGGAGACATTTTAATACGAAAAGCTACTAACTAAATGAATATACTAAAATCAATTATTATCTAGAGTTATTTGGCAATAAATATGGAGTTAAATAGAAAAATCAAACTGGACTTTGATATCCAAAAGAAGACAAATTAATCATAACCATCCTACATTCTGCAAATAGTTGAGGAGATATATGTTAAATAAAAAAAGTAGTTAAATTTTTTAACAAAAAGTTTAAAACAGAGAGGAGCAAGTACAGCAGGTATACACGTCACAGAATTTATCTACTTTCATTGATTAAGAAACCTAGATCTGAACCAAGAAAAGCAGACTTGTTGGCTGACATACAAAATATTTTCCCTGAATCTAAATTAAATATTTGTTTGGCTCATGTAAGAGGTGCACAAAAACATGGCAAATGTCAATAACTATAGGTTTATAAATCACATAGCATTTACACAAAATCTGTATTTCTAATTAGCATTTCTCTATGAAAGTACATAGGAAAATACAACTGGATTTTTTAAAATTAGGATTTAAGTAAATGTATAAAGCCCTTAGCAGAGTCATGATACAGAGTAATAATTAATTAATGAATTAATACAGAGTAATAAACTCTTAATGTTTTAATATGGTGAATGTAACTCTGTCATTATAGTAAAAGTCAGGAATGTTAGCTTCAGGTGACTTCACTAAAACAGAGATGGTTTAAAGAACCTAGGGATTCCCAACAACCAAACGTAAGATGTGGGCCTTAATTAAATCATGATCCACACAAAAAAGCTATGAAACAGAGTTGGGAGATAATTGGGAAGATTTGAATATGGACTGAATATTAGATAATGGGGTATATTTATGAATTTTCTTAAGTATAATAGATATTGTGTCTATATGGAAGAATTTCCATATACCAAAAATAAAAACTCTTATTCTTAAGACACGCATACTAAGTATTTAGGGGTGAGATCTCTGCAATTTACTTTAAAATGATTAAGTAAAACATAGATGGATGAATAGATACATAAATAGATAAAGTCAATATGGGAAATTTTTAATAATTGAATCTGATGACATATTTGTTGTACTCTAACTATGAGCATATTATAAACAGTCTCAACATATGAAAAAATTGACAAAAGAACATTTACAATGAATAATCAGCAGCTCCGTCAGGCATACTTTTGGCTAAGGCTGGATTTGTCAATCTGTAGTTGAATTTTTGGACAAGTGTTTGAAGAACCAATAAAGTCGAGTAGAACTAGATTTTTACATGCTTTGGATGCCAGACAAACTGGTGTTAGAATTAACATCCTGTCATGAAAATGTAAGCACCTACCTTGTACCTTATTTCTAAGCAGATGGGGAAGCTGGGCCTAATGCTGGTATCACCTAGATATGTCTCATAATATAAAATGATTAAAAATTTTAAGTAAATCTTTTTTTTAATTGATTTCACAGAGGAAGGGAGAGGGAAAGAGAGACAGAAACATCAATGGTGAAAGAGAATCGTTGATCAGCTTCCTCCTGCACACCCCACACTGGAGATTGAGCCTGCAACCCAGACATGTGTCCTTGACCGGAATCAAACCCGGGAACCTTCAGTCTGAAGGCCAACCCTCTATCCACTGAGCCAAACCAGGTAGAGCTTAAGTAAATCTTTTGATCCATCAGGCTTCTCTAGACATACTGTTGTAGACGTAGGGACCTCTCACTACACAGTGAGATGACTTTTGACCTCATAAATGTTAAAGTATTTATAACAGGCCACCACAGTTATAAAAGAACCTGAGTCTGACCCTGGTGCCTTGTTATGTAGGACTTCACTCTGACAAGTCACCTGAGTCACCTCCAACTTATAGGGTAACTCAGGTGCAACAGCTTATCCCAAGTGTTTTTTTAACTGATATCTTGGATTGGCCATTAAGCATTATCTACTTAAGTTGGAAAGTTTGATGAACACAATGGTTTTGATTTTTAACAAAACAGTTGCCAAACAGGTTTACAGATCCACACACCTCTTGTGGCTATTCCCACTCTATAATAATGGAATAAAACCACAACTATAGTTTTTAAGTATTGAAAAAAAAATTTTAACTAATGAAAAATGTTTACCTACTTCTGGTGACAGGAAACAGCCTGTAATAGAGCATTCCCAGCACATACACTGCACCAGCCTTATTCAGCCTGAGTCAGACTGCCATAAAAAGGACCAAGGGCTGTTGAGAACACTAACACAGGGGCCAAAGTCCCATATTGTTTTTAACTGGATGTTTTCTTAGCTGAAATAACTGAGGCAAAGCTATAATCATGCCCAAAGTCCCCTGCACGTTCCTCCATCGGTCTTACCCGCCTCTACCCTCCTCCACTGCAGTGACTTATCTGCTCATCTGTCTCCAACAGACAATTGTGCTGCACGAAGATGGATTCTTTGTCTTGTGCGTTTTCCCAACACCTGCTACAAGGCTTGTGCATGATAATATCTCAAATATTACCTGAATTAACTGTTTTCAAGGAATCTGAATGGAGTGCTATAAACTCTTTACAATTCAAAAATAACAAAAATAAGCCCTGGCTGGTGTGCTCAATGGTTAGAGCATCGGCCCATGCACCAAAGGGTCTCGGATTCAATTCCCGGTCAAGGGGATGTACCTGGGTTGCAGGTTCAATCCCCAGCCCTGGTCGGCTCATGCAGGAGGCAACAATGTACCACTCTCACATTGATGCTTTTCTCTCCCCCCCC